TTCTTAAAAATGCCATTCGGTTTACGAAACGCTTCCCAGACCTTCTAACGTCTTATGGATGAAGTTCTGCGCGGGCTACCGTACGTATACGCGTACATTGACGACATCTTAGTAGCCAGTAAAGACGTCGACTTCCATAAGCAATACCCGCGAGAAGTATTCCAGCGACTTTCGCATTACGTCTGAAGCTGAATCTGGACAAGTGTGTTTTCAGGGCGCCCAGTATCGATTTCCTCGGGCACCACACCGACGCGAACAGCATTGCACCTCTGCCCGCTAAGATCTGCTCGATCCAGGACTTTCCAACGCCGAGTCTATTAAACAATTGCGACGTTTTATCGGGATGATCAATTTTTATCGATGATTCATCCCGAATTGTTCTACCATTCTCCAGCCCCTGCCGAACCTGCTGCAGAGAAAGAACACAGGCATCACGTTAGAGGGAGATGCCCTGCATGCATTTCACACGGCAAAGACTGCATTAGCGAATTTCACTAGGCTTTCGTATATTAACGACGATCTTCGAACACAACTATCCCTGACAACCGACACATCGGACGCAGGAGTGGGCGTGGTGGTTGAGCAGGAATCCTATTCCCAACGCAAACCCATCGCGTTCTTTTCGGCTAAGCTTTCGCCAGCCCAGAGGAAATACAGCACCTTCTCTCGGAAGCTGCTGGCCATTTACTTGGCCGTTAAACATTTTCGGCACCAACTAGAAGGTAGAGAATTTACCATCTACATCGACCACAAACCATTGACGACCGCAATGAGTACCAGCTCCGATAACTACACACCCCGTGAGATCCGGCACCTCGACTACCTGTCACAGTTTTCGACCGGCATCCGTCATGTAAAGGGAAAGTACAACGTGGTCGCAGATATGTTGTCCCGAACAGAAATTCTCTTGAGACCGACGTCTTGAGTCAGGATTCGATAGCCGCTGAACAGAAATCCGACTCAATGCTGCAAGTCATGCTTACAAACACTTCCTTGAAGCTTCGGGAGTTCTCAGCATTCTTCAGCGACAACACTCTATACTCCGATATCAGCTTAGCCAACCCTAGGCCTTACATACCCCCTACTCTTCGATGACAGGCGTTTCGACATCTACACGGGCTGTCACACACGAGCAAGCGAGCGACGGACAAACTCATTACCGACCGATTTGTTTGGCCTAACATGAATGCTGACATCCGAGAATGGGTTTTGACGTGCTTAGAATGCCAGAGATGTAAGGTCCATCGACACACCCAAATCCCCTGTTGGTACTTTCAGCAATCCTGATGCACGGTTCTTACATATCCACGTCGACCTTGTGGGACCGCTGCGTCAGGATTACCAGTATCTGTTGACAGTTGTGGATCGTTTTTCGTGATGACCGACTGCGATACTTATTAAGGACACTTCTGCAAGCACCGTCTCCAAGACAATCCTGAGGGAGCGGATCGGAATTTTCGGCACGCCTCAAGTCATCACGACCGACCGAGGAGCACAGATCCAATCGTCCCTTTTTAGGAAATTCACCAACCTACGCGGAGTCAGACATATCAGAACGACCGCTTATCATCCAAGGCTTTGTTGAGAGATTTCACCGGTCTCTAAAAACCTCCCTGGCCACTTGACCTGGCACGACGAACTGGGTTGATGACCTACCTTTGATTCTTCTCGCCTGGAGGAATACGATACCCGCCGAACTAGTTTTTAGTACACTTCTTTCGTTGCCCAGAGATTACTTCGACACGGTTTCCAATTCGACAAAACCTTTTGCCCAGGAGCTCCACCATAAAATGGCTCGACTAAAGTATACACCTCCACGATAGCATCCGACGAATTCATATATCCCTCAACGGCTGCGAGATTACGAATTCGTTTTCATCAGAAACGACGCCGTGAGAAGACCACTCACACCTGCATATCAAGGTCCATTTATAGTTCTTTGCCGCACCGACAAGCACCTTACGATCAGGCGCGGTGACACCACTGACACTGTCGCGATCGATCGATCGATCGATCGAACTAAACCTGCTTTTCTGGAGAGACGACAGCGCAGCGCAAACCTGGCACAGCAGACCCTCGACGACATGCCAGCGCCTCCCGTCCGACAGACCAGATCCGGAAGGAGGGTCACTTTCCCTAGTAATCCTACCCGATATTACTATTGCTAATTGATACGATCAATTATCTAGGGGAGGATCTTGTCGCAGCCACCGATGGCCGCTCTTAAACAAAACAAACAGGACGGTCTTGACCTTCGCAACCCTTTTACTCCCGGAATTGAATCAGCAGTTAATTAGCAAATAAACAGCTATCTACATATATTTTGACTTAGAAACATACCATTAAGTATATCTGATAAAGGAGTGTTAACCAGCATTCGACAGCATTTGTTATTATTATTATTATTTAGAGTTTTCTACTCCCAGTAGCAGGGATAGATGAACAAACATTATAACATAAATTTGACCCCTTTTTCGACGAAAAGCCAGTTTCTCGGGCCGGGGCCAGATTTATGGTTTAATATCTGTACGTTGGCTTTTCTACGTCGCTCTTTGTCAGGAGATTCGATTATGGCAGGGATTGTTAGGGACGTGTTCCCTTTCCTTACTATCAGTCCCCCCCCCCATATTGCGGGTTGAGCGCCATCGTAAACCTCGGAATCAATCGGATTTCGTTCGCGAGTGTCGGTACGCCTTGACGATCATTCCTCGGTCCAGTGACTTTTCACGGCCTAGGAAGGTCTTCTATCGTTATTTAGGGGGGGGGGGGCTCGCCTTGTCAGGGAAGGAGTTTCGCTCTTTCTGGTTTTGGGCGCTAGCAGCGAATTATCTCAGTTTTCGCTTACCTGGCGATTGGCTCGGAATCGGCTGCCTGTCAATGACATGGTCTTCATATGGGGCTTGGCGGATTTGCCAGACTGTGAACGGTGTGACCTTGATTTAGAAGAAACGGCTTCGCACGCCTTCTGCCATTGTGCGCCCCTTATGGCACCATGTCCGCGAGTTGACATCTTGTCTCGCTCCCGAACAGCTCGTGCTCATTGATTGCGCATACGCGTGTGACAGTGTGTCACCCCCGTATTCTGGGGTGAAATGAATGGTGTTTCTGACGCTGCTGGCCACGGCCCGAATGGTGATTTGGACGACGCGTCAGGAGAAAGTCTTGCGAGGCAACCGTCTTTCTCATCAGGATCTAATCCGATTCTTTGAGCATCAATATTAGAACTGATAGAAAACGCTTGCATTCGACAATCTTCAGCGAAAGATGGATGACTGAGGCGAGCTTGGTTTGTTTGAAGGGGCTAGCATTGATTTTCTCTTTTAGGTCAACCCACGTCACATCGGGGTGGTTTCCTGTGGAGCCCTCCCCCTTGGTTAGGTTAGACAAGCTTTTGTGTACCTAATTAATGTAAGTGTTGTTCCTGGCCTGTTCCCGGCTGTAAGTGTTGTTCCTGGCCTGTTCCCGATTATGATCCAAGTTGAGATTCCCAACCTCCCCAGTTTGTTTTGGTCCCTTTTTATCTTGACTGGGTCAGCTTTTTTCTTTCCTATGTCCATATAATTTTCTCCTTTTCCACTCTCTTAACGAGAGAGCCTCTTGATTGTGTCCAATGGGCAGAATACAGCGGCCTCTCATTTTTGAAGGTTGAACGGACCCTACTAACATCAGTTATGTTTAGTTTACTTTGTGTTCATGTTTAGTTTGTTATTGGGTTCATTTCCCTTCCCTCTCATTCTTCATCTTTAGAATTTTATATATAATAATTTATTATGATTAAATTTTTTATGGCATGGGGTGTGTTTTGTAGGTCCCCCCCCCCCTTGAGAGGATGTGGTATTATGCCATATGGAGGATTGATTGGTGACGGGCGAATTTTTGTGGTGAATGTGCAAATTGTAATGAGTGAATGGGTCGTGAATCGGATTAGCTAGGTATAAGATAGTGAAGACCAGCTTCAACCCCTCCCCTTTTTTCGGCCTTGTGCCATAATTATATTTTTATATACAATAAATACCAGTATATGTGCACTGCCTTTGATCTCCCCAGTGTCCTGCTGAGGTGTACTCTTCGACGTGATCCCGTGTTCCACAGTTGATCCGCCTTGGAAGTTGTATCATCTCAACTCAACATCTCGACCCTGTTTAGGGAGGAGATTTTCTATCTGCGGATCGGAACATCTCCGACGATTCTCCCGAATCGTTGAAGTAGACGGCCAGGAGGCAGAAGGTTTCCAACTTTTGTGTTGGAACATCTCCGACGCTTCACCCGAATCGTAAAAGCAGACGTTCCAGGAGGCAAACATTTCAGCTCCCGTTTCGCTATTATGTTCCTGTGTAGCCACTAACCCGCTTCTCCTCACTGATACGTTCCTGTCCGGCCTTTGACCAACTTCCAATCGTCGACAAGTCCAGATCGACCACACCTCAACTTCCCGTCGTCGACACGTCCAGTCCAACCACACTTCTGTTATCTGACCTCGAAGCCCAACCGACCGACGATCAACTTATCTACCATTGGTTTCACGACTAAAGATTACCAGTCCAGTCTACCCGAACCTGACATTTCATCCAGCAAATCTTTTTCTGTTTTCGTTGTAAAAACGCACGTCGTTTTAACGAAATAAAACTGATGTTTGGTTAAAATATAAAACTTCGCCTTTGTCTCCTCATTGTTTTGGCTGTTCACACCTTTGTTTCAACACAAATAAGCTTGTGCGGTGGACATCATTATCGGCCCTGCAACACAAAGTGTTAGTAAAAAGAAATATTTTTAAAAAGGCATTATTAATGGTAGTATTTTGAAGCATTATTTTGTTGCTTCTTTTTATAGACTTTATTCTTCATTATGAAACATTTTAATTAACATTTCGGTATGTTTGAGTAAAGTATGACCACCACAAACAACTGAAATGTGAAATTTGGGGGACAGAATAATGTGTATGCAAGTGAGGGAGAGTGAGTATAGGGTTTTTAAAAGATTAGAGTTATCTGCCCTTGAAAATGTTCAACATGGCTGCTTCATTAGGATTTCTTACAAAAAGTTTGTTGAATCTCAGGTAAGACAGTAAAGTCTTTTGACAATTATTTTATTGAAAGTGACTAATATTCGCAACAATAAAAATCAGGTGTTAGATGTTTTTGACTTTAATTAAACTATAATAGTTACGAATAACAATTGTATATGTGACCTTCAGAAAAAAAAGTAATCTCTTTTTTTTTTCTGTCGTTCATCTTTTTTTATTGGTCTAAATAATTGAATTCTATATTTAATTATTTTGGTATTACAGCCACAAAATAAAAAAAAATGTATGCATTATTTTGTTGTCGTTCACTCAAAGGTTGTTTGTTCCAGACCCTTATGTGAAAATTCATGTTCCCAACCTATGGTGGTGCGAATGGATTCAACAAACTGAGTTCCAATCTACTGACAATTTGAAGAAATGCCTTTAAGGCTTTAGGAAAGGCATGAATCCACACATCGCCACCCCAGCTAACAGTGCAGTTGGGGGTTTCCCCCAACTTTTTTTTTTTTTTTTAACCTTTTAAAATAAATGTAAAAGTAGTCGTTCCTTGCTGTTGGCACCTTGACTGCTTAAGTTTGACCATACGGAATATTCGGTATGAATATTTCTGAATTTGAAATGGTACAGTAGTTTACCAATATAAATAATAAATATTAAAACTATTTTTCTAGCAGTTGGTGTGCTTGCATAATTTAATTTTAATAAAATTAAAATATTATTAATTTTCTTTCAGAATGAACAGAAAAAAATACACTTAATTTTTTTTTTTTTTAAATCTACTTGTAATTTTTCAGTGCGATTTTGAAATTCATCCTATTTTTCGTAAGAGTTTTTTTTTAATTAAAGTAAAGACATGCTTGAAGAATTGAAAAATATAAAGTTTAAAAATGAATGCCTTTTTCGAATGGGAACCTTTTTTATTTTTTAAAAGAATTTTACATTTTTAATTTTTTTTTTCACTTTTTTTTTAGTTAGTAGCTGTTATTAATTTTTTTATATCGGTGTTCAAAGAGGAAATAAATCTGAATTATCACATTTGACTGCTTCAGAAGAATATTATGAATATTGAAAAATTATTATTCTTTAATTTCAAGGGTTTTTGATTTATGCTAAAAAAGTGTTATTGATTTGGCAATAAAACAATAACTTAAATTCAGAATAATTAAAAAACACATTGGGTGCAATTTTATTAAAACAAAGAAAATAAAAATAAAAAAGCAATGAATTATTAAACGCAAAAATATTTCACAAGTTTTTCTTTTTTATATCTCTACTAACTAATTGTATATTGTATAAAAAATTAAGTTCAGTTAAATAAAAAAAGCATTTAATATTAAAAAAAAAAGTATATTCTTAAACTACTGTTTTTAAGGTTAAAGATAATTTATTTTTAAATATAAAAATACCAATTTCTTGATTGTTGCAATGTTGGTGTTGCTTATTTCGTTTAATAATAATTCTTCGCGTGTTTGTTAAGTCATGGGTGAAATAATTACAATTTCTTTGACGTTGCAGGCGTGAATAAACATTATTTTCAATAAGTTTTACAATAATAATAATTACTTTTTACAAAGTCTAGTTAATCAATCTTCAAATTTTCTAAATGACTTTGAAATAGACTCTATTAGGACAAAAAGCGGAGTCTTAAGAGATTTTTAAATTTTCTGTTTACTATTTTTCGTCTTGTTTCAATGAGTGACGAGTGAGCGTGCTAATGTTTAAGAAATGCCTAAAATTTTCTATCGAAATTAATTTTTCTTTTAATAATAATAATTATTTAGGCTATTTGCTATTTATTTGTATAGCTTTCAAATAAAACCAAAATTTAACTTCAAAGAAGGTATTGTTATACTTATAAGTGCATTACTGTGTTTTTGTTTGATTTTTGAAATCCATGACGTGTGCTTAAGCTTAACGGCCTTTTTACTTATCTTCTACGCAGTAATCAAGACAAGAGAAGCTTCCGCTCATTATTGCTCGAGGTAAACGTATGTAAACAAAGCCAGTAATAATGGCGGTCGGTCTGTAGCTGTGACACGAATGAGGGCACCTCGGCATGGTGTAATGGTTAGCAAGCTTGTCTCGCTAGATCAGTTACAACTGAAAAGTGAGTTCGATCCTCACTATGATGCCCCATACTTTCGGCCTTGTGCCACATCTAAGCTATGCTTGGAAAATAACTATTTAGCCGGCCAGGCCGCAGCCCGACCTTCGGGCTGGGTTGCGACCATGGCTAAGTCTAGTTTGGACCATATCAGGACCTGCTAAGACAAGCCAAGACCAACTTGGACTAAAACTTGACTAAGCTTTGACCAGCTTGGACATGTTATGACCAATCTTTGACCAGTGACCCTATGCGGAAACGCTCGGGTTTCCCACGAAAAACGACCTTGTGTCACATCTTGACCCCGTGGGAGTTAAGTAAATACCGCCGTGACACGAATGAAGCTGAACTTATATTGTCGATAACTCCTAAACAGTTTTCTTCTGCAAACTTTTATTATTTTCAAATAAGCATGCAAATTTACACCAGAATGGAAATTTTCATTACAATTGGTTTCCGATGCTTAATCTGCAAATTTATCACTACTTGTTTTGAAATGTCTAGTTTGAAACTGTGCTTATGTCATTTAGGAATTAATTGTAAAAAAATATATAGAAATTAAAAGTACAAAGATTTTAAAAATCTTAAAATAAGATATATGAAAATGTATCATGTGTTTGTTCTAAGAGAAATCTTTTAACAAAATTTTAAAAATCTGTTTTTGTACCCAATTTATCACTTTGTGGTGAGCAATCAGTTTGTTCTGTTTTTGCTTATCCTTTCTCTTTCTCCATCGCCTTTGTTTTAAAGCTAATGAAATTAAACCCATAGAACAGGTATGCATTCACATGGGTAAGGATGTAAAATATTTTACAAGTACATTAGACTAATTGATTAGACTAATTGTTATGAAGAAAGAAGGGCATACTGAAAAGCTCTCAGCCTAACCAAGAAGTAACATGTAAGTTTGGAGCATTTTTTCATCACAGTCTGCTGATTTTTTTTTTTTTTTTTTTTTTTTTTTAGCGATTTCATGGAGATCCCTACTTCTTGGAATATTGTTTCTCAATTTTCTGTTATTCTTCAAAAAAAACTTATCTCTGGTGATTGAAATATGGCCTCTGCTATCATTCCAGAATCATTTGAAAACATCTTAATGAAATTTTTAAAGATTTTAGAAACTGGAAATAGAGCAAGATACCATGATTAGGTTAGTTGGCCAATGCACTCAAAAAAAAATGTCAGCCTTGTGAGCAGGTCCTTTTGTCCTTCCTGCACTTTTCTACAGATTCCCTTCCTGTTTTTCATTAATCACTGCAACTAATTTGTACTGTGTTCTATATTAACTTATTAATTTTTCTAAAGAGAGCCAGTCATGACTCCTTTTAATGTTGACTTTTGGTTCTTGAATTTTTTCAGTTGAAAAAGAACCTAATCCTTCATGAAATGTTGTGTGATCTTCAGATTAATAGATTTATGGCCATATGACATTGAAATACCAGTTCTTGTACGATCAGTTAAGCACCATCAAGCCTGGTCAGTACCTAAATGAGTGACCACTTCAGTATGTCAGATTCTGTAAGCAATGATGTGCAGGTAGTGTAATAGATAATTGCTTGGAATTGGAAATTGGAGAGCAAAGTTCCAATTCCAGTTGGGTTTGTTATATTCACTTACATGCAAATACCCCTGGGTAAAGGTATGAATCCACCTCTTGTACTCCTAGCTATGGGTTAATTTGTATCTGTAAATTATTATCTCCTAAAATTTCTTACAATCTAAAAATATTTTCTGGCTTTAAATAAACTAAAAAAGGTGGATAAGACAAAAAGAAAATCAATCAATCAAATCCACATTAAAAAAACACTTCTAATATTAAATCTGTAGATTTAAATTTTTTTTTCCCATTCTGAAGCATTTATCATTCTCACAAGATCATAGAAGTACATTTATAATGTCTTGTATAGAAAGACAAACAGCTTCATATGCTATAAGTTTCTCCTCTTCACACTACTGATATTGCCAAAGAGAATAATGAAGGCCAAAGGTGACTTAGCACCAATGTCATTATGGGAATCTGTCAGAACAAGGTTGAAGACAAAGGGATGCCAGTTCTGGATTTGTCCTTGAGGATTACTCCTAAAGCTTTTTTTTTTTTTTTTAAATTGTTTTACTTGAAGCTAATTTATCATTCAGTCATTTTATTTCCCTTTCTAACAGATTATCAACAACTTGTTATCGGTGGATTCATATGCAAGAGACCCCTCTAAATATCCATGTAACTAGTGCTCTATGGTAAGTCATGTTTATTCTTTTATTAAGGTAATGATTTGAAGAAGCTGTGAATAAACATTGAAATATTGAGTACCTACATTCATATTTGGTTGATAAAGTTTTGTAAGTTACTTTCTATGCAGTTTTTGCAGTCTTGCTATATTGTACTGAACTTTGAAAATACTACTTAATCATGGAGGAAATGAATGATGTTTTCATAATGCATAAATTATATTTACAGGAAAAAGAGAAAAATTTTAAATGAGTGATTAGGTTAAAAAGTAAATTTTCTATTTGAATATATTTTATTAAACAAAAATAAAATTCCATAGTATTGTGTTATCTCTGTATCTATCTATCTCTGTATCTATCTATCTCTGTATCTATCTATCTCTCTCTCTCTCTATATATATATATATATATATATATATATATATATATATATATATATATACACGATACATACAGAGAGTGAGAGTAGTAAAAGCATTTGAAAGACCACCTGAAAGTAATGTTAAAACAGTGTGGTATTAATCCTGTGGAACCTAAAGCAGTCAATTGCAAAAGTTGGAGGACACTATGCTGTCAGGATATTGAAAGATTTTAAACTATCTAAATTCAAGACCAGGAATTTTGATGCCAACAATATCATGATTGTCTGGTGCATGAGCCGCCACCACCACCAGGTATTGGCGTTCAGTGTTCAATCTGTGGATGGCAATGTGTGTCTCAGTTTGATCTTTGCAGCCATCAACATATCATCAACCTGTCATTTCTTCAATTCTCATTTTTCTCATTTGGTGGAGCAGACATTGTCATAGTCATTGGTGGACTTCATTTATTTATATATATAATATATATATATATATATATATATATATATATATATATATATATATATATATATATATATGAAAAATAAATTGGAAGTTGATGCCTGCGATCTCAAACATTTACGGGACAATGATACTAGAAAGAACAAAAAAGTGTGGTGGGGGCAACTTGATAGTGTGTTGTTTGGGAACAAGTTACAACATGTCTGCTATGAAGGTTAACAATGTAAACAAGGACAGTGTAAAGAAAACAAATGCTCAATGTTTATAGAAATAAATAAGAGAAACTTTATTTAATATATAAACAAGTTGAATTTAACATTAAACATGTAAATGAAATAATCTTTTGCACTTACTGGCAGAACAAAAAGGATATCTCAGCTCTTTTTATCAGAGCTAATGTGTTCCTTTAAAAATGTTTCAAGCGACTACTAAAGGTCTTAACAGGTTTTAAATTTAATCCTTTAAAATATTAGTTTACTCTGCCACATATTTAAAACTGAATAATTTTGGTTCATGTGAGAAGATACCTTGAAAGATGCAAAACTGTTTTCTTCATGAAGAGATCTTTCACTCTATTTTGTGGCTGTTGGTAGTCATGTAGATGTTGATTCCTACTGTGATGAACTTTCTTGGGTTGGTGGAGGGAGGGATGATGACTCTATCTTCTGACCAAAGGAGCAGACCAAAGCCCCCAGCCACTGCCAAAAACAATTCCCCAAAAGGCACAAACTCACTCTTTTATGAGTATCTCCAAGGCATGGTTAAACTCAAACAAGTCAATTTACATACATACAAGAATACCTTATATGGGCAAAATAAACTAATCAGTTACCTTTTCTTTCCTTTTCCCGCTAGTATATAAAAACAATAAAGCAAATAATAATAAACATCTGCAAAAAAAAAAAAAATCATTAAACTAGCAGATAATACGTCTGCTAATATTTTAATATTTGGATACATTTTTTTTTTTATTTATTTAAAAATAAAATAAAGCATATCTACAAAATAAATATACATACGAAAGATTAACAAAATGTATTTTTTTATTATTTTAGTTTCCAATAAACATATAAAGATCGAGGCAGCTAAAAATCTTCTTGGTGGACCACTTAAAAATGAGGGCAGTGCAGCAATGTTTTTAGAATTTGAAAAATTTGTTTTTTATTTGCAAAAAGTTAATGTAAAATCTTTAAAGAAATTTATAAAAATAAACTAAAACCTTAAAAATCAAAGTTTTTTATTGATAAGTAATAATATAGATTATAATGTCTAGAATTATTAGCAATGATACATTTCAGTGGACATTTTCAAAAAAGAACTTACATTATTACAACATTATTATCTTAGAATATGTTTTACTGTATAAAAATATAAAGCATTTTCAGCATAAAATCGAAATAACTATTGAAACAAAAAAATATGTACAGTAAATTTCAAACAAATTTCAAACTTTATTTCTAACATGAATATTAATTAGTAATTTCTTGTCGATAAAAATATTTTGACGACTAATTTTTGCTGTCTAATTTTTAACTTGAAGGCAAAAAGTGCCATGGACATGGCTTATTTTTTTAAGGACACCTCGGCATTAAATACAGGTACCGCTTCATTTTTTCCATGGTGCCACAGTGTAAACTGCCTAAACTCATCCCTATATATATATATATATATATATATATATATATATATATATATATATATATATTTAGAACTGAACTCTCCCATCGTATTCAATGTATGAGGGTGAAGCAGCTCAGTTTCTGGGAATCAACGGACAGACACCAGCATATATAATTTGATTATAGTGGTGAAGTCTTTGTGCAGATCCAGCCACACTATTTGAGGGGCTGAATACAGAGAGCTGGTGCACTATGTGCCACAAGGTCCCCCAAATGACCCTCCACAGGTTTTGAATTCAGAGTTTCCTTCTCTCAGACCAGTTACCATCCAAAGCTATCAAACCCAATCTGTCCTGCTATTTACCCATAGCTAGAGGGAGAAGATGAGGATTAATACCTTTCCCAAGGATATGAGCACATAAGTGAATATAATGGATTTGACTGGAATTCAAACTTGGCTCTCTGATTCCTCTATCCACTACTCCACCATGCCTCATATATATATATATATATATATATATATATATATATATATATATATTTTTTTTTTTTTCAGATGTAGTATATCTGTAGAAGAGACAAAATGAATGAAAAGGCAAGAGGAAAACTACTTAGTTTAGCCGATTTGTTTCATTATTTGACAGACTTTATCAAGGCAAATGTGATAGTTTTATTTTGCGACAAGTACAGGGGTTGGACAAAATAATTGGAACACTTGTTAAATTCAAAGAAAATTTATTTAAGCCTCACAGACAGCTTTAATATGTCTAGGAATGGAATCATACAGCTTCCTGACTTCATCCAAATGAATTTTCAGTCATTCTTCCATTAAAACCTTCTCCAGCTCTTTACAACACGACAGTGGAGGATAGCGGCTCCTAACTTGTTGCTCCAAAATGCACCACAAATGTTCAATAATATTGATATCTTGATATTGGGGAGGCCAATCCATGTGTTCTAGCTCATTTTCATGCTCTTCATACCAATTCTTAACCACTCGAGCAGCATGTATTGGAGCATTATCGTCTTGGAAGATGCAATCACCATCAGGGAATAAAGTCTTGGTCATTGGATGAACATGATCTCCCAAAATGTTCAGGTAATCTTTGCTGTTGATTCTACCATGCAAAGCAACTATTGGACTGAGACATTTCCATGATATGGTGGCCCAAACTATCACTGATCCGCCTCCATGCTTCACTGTTGGAAGAAGGCAGCCAGGGTTGTAAGCTTCTTTGGGCTGCCTCCACACATAAACTTGCTCTGAAGTTGGGAAAAGAGAAAAACTGGACCTGTTTGAGAATATGACTTGCTTCCATTGGTCTGCAGACCAGGCATTGTGATCTCTGCACCACTTCAACCTCTTTTGAATGTTGCGAGTGGAGAGAAAAGGTTTCCTCACAGTGGCTCTTCCATGATATGCAGCCTTATGGAGCTCATGGTGAACAGTTTTAGTAGAAACTGAACTATTCAGATGGTTATTCAACTCAGCAGTTACTTTGGCCGCATTTGTCCGATGATTTTTTGCCACATTGCGTTTCAATGCACGTCAGTCCCTGTCAGTAAGTTTGCAAATCCGGCCCAAATTGCTACAGTTGCTAGAGGTCTTGCCCTGTTTCTTGAATTGCCTGTGTTCTTGATATGGTAGCTCTTGAAAAACCAAACAGTTCAGCAACCTTAGTGATCGAGGCTCCTGCCATGCGAGCTCCAACAATTTGCTCTTTTTCGAACTCGGAGAGGTCACGCATTTAGATTAAATTTTACTAAATTTTAAAAATAAATAAGACAAAGACAGTAAATTAGATAAATAAATGTATTTACAATAGATATAACCTGCAATTACAAAGTTTTAGTTAAAGTTCTTAATATAATAGGTCATTGAAATATAAGAGTGGATTTTGCAACTGTTCCAATTATTTTGTCCAACCCCCGTATATCTTTGTTACTCAAAATTTCCAAATTTATCAATGCTCATAAATATTCAGCAAGTTCACTGAAAAGATTTAGGTATAAGGTCCTAGATTACATCAGATAGCATCTTGGAAATAAATTTTTTGAATTTAAATATTCTTAATAACAGGTTAACTGCAATGTCTAGACATTTAGACCTTAGAGTACTCAGAAAAAAAGAAGAAAAAGTAATAGTTATCAGTTTAAAAAATGAACTTTGTGAGCCAAGTTCACATTCTGTCTAAAGCTGTATTCACTTTGCACTATGGCCTTGGAATTTGTCTCTCCCTAGCTATAGTAGGGTAGGTTGAACTTTTTAGCCTGGGGTAGGGCAACCACTCTAAAACTGAATGAATGTAAAACCAATCTCAAGAGATGGGCTCTGTTAGTTTTCCAGCCCTAGTCAAATCTATTGGTGCTGCATCTGAAGTATATACTGTATTCCAACGACTGTAAAATGTGTTACAGGATGCATGAAAAATTTCTTCTTCACATGTTTACTGAAACATTTGTCATTCATTACAGACTTTCCAATAGACTCTCCTGAAATTACTTCTCAGATTGTTGTAATAAGAATTATAAAAGTTCTTACACTCATTGTCAGCCTCAATAGGAGTCCATATATCTACTTGTTTGTGGAAGATTATTGGTTAAAAAGTCAATATTTTTTAATAAGTTTTCCAAATCATTTTTGTTAATTTGAAGGACTTGCTATGTTTTGAATTTCATTTTTGTATTTTTTAACTGAAATAGGATCTTTGTTTTTTTCTTTTTGTTGCTAGGGGTGTCCCAATGAAGAAGAAGAGAAAAGTTGATCCTCAGTTGGCAATAATGCGAGAACAAAAGAAAAAAAGGAAAATTGAAAAGCAAATCCGTCGACTTGAAAAATATGCCCAGAAGTTAAAACCAATTGAAGAAATTCAAATCAGCAATCAACTACAACAAGAAACAAAGTAAATCCATTTATCTTTAGCAAATAAAGTTTATAAAATTAGAATGAAAAGCTGTTTATATTCCCAGATTGTGTGTGAGAGAGAGATCTATTGGATGGCCAAAACATTTACTTAATAAACATAAGAGAATTTTTTTTATTTTTAACATTTAACAATTGTTCCATGAAGTTTTTCCATCTTTCATTTAACTTCATTATTTCATCTTCCCACAACTCTTCTTTCTTAGCAAAGAACTGTTCTCGGTGCATTTTGCAGTCTTTGAGGCAATTTAAATTTTTTTATTATATTAAGAGATTTCCACAAATGACCAGAATCGGAGTCTCAAATAGCAAAAAAAATTTGATATAAAGCAACAACTTTCAACTTGCATTCCCCATATAATGATATCATGGCATAAAACTCATAAGAATAATAATGAAAATACTAATTCTATTTCCTAAGCAAAGATGACAATAATAATTTAAATTTATTTTATTTTAATGTTGCAGAATTTGATCATATCAGAAAAAATTAATTATGTTCCAAAATGTATATTATTAAAAAAACATCAATTTCTTTAAACTCAAGGATAAAACTGTCTTTTCATCAATTTGTAAATAAATAAATTATAATTTCTACTGTAAATAATCCAATTTCTGTTTTTCTTTATTAAAAAATGACACTGTTTTGTTTAAATTTTTTTTCCAAGATTGAGACAGAGACGAAATACTGTGATTTCATTTGAAGAAAGTGAGGAACGAGTGAAATTGGTAAAGCAATGGTCACAATATCAACAGAAACTGTTTGGTGAAGAAATGAAGGCATTGGCTTTGGCTGAATTAGCACAACAGAAAGCATTGACAGAACTGAGAAAGGAATCTGAAGAACTTTACCAAATGGCCATTCAGGTAAAGTGAAACAATTTATGGCTGCATTTTTCACCTCTTTTTTTTTTCTTTTTCCTTCTTGAAATTCATGAGACATATTTGATAGGCTTAAAATTTTCTTTATTACAATCCTCAAACTCTTAATGTAACAAGTTCAGTCCTTTTTTTCCTTTTTGAGTGCTCGCTGACAATAACCTTATGTCAATCGAAGTAAATATCTATATTTATCAGGTTAAATATTATTACTTTAATGCATTTTATTACAAGAAATTATCGTGTGTCTCATGAACTCTGACTAGGGAACTCACCAGCCTATTGCACTTAGGGTGAGATACAATGACTCATCCTAATGTCTGCAACAATGACCAAAGGAACAGAGTTGCAATTTCTGGGTGGGGAAATAATTTGAGAGACCCCAATTTTGGCACTGTCTATATTGTCTGAATTAGTAACAGTAGCAACAGCAAGAGTAAATAAGGTTTATACCAGACTTTACCTATCGTGTCATCTAGTCTCTCTCTGTCCTTGCACTCTCTGCTGGCAGGTTTATATAAGAAAGTTTGAGCACTTCTGCTATTATTGCATGTTTTTAGATTACGATATTCATAACCTTTGCCTAAAAAAACAGATGACTTTTGTGGAATGTAGTCAGGCCAAGACCCTAATGTTGAATTTTTGGTAATGATATATGTTTGATAACATTTTAAATAAACATTGCAAGAATAATTCTTTGGAATTTAGAAAATTTTCAAAGACTACAAATCTTGTCATACTGCCCTGGAGGCACTTAGGTAGGTTGGGGAAGATCTAATCTTACTAAATCTTAATGAATTCTACTTGATTTATTCCAGGTTCAAATCTTCCTGGAGCCTTCTCCAAACTCATTTTATGGCTTCTAATTATTATTTTTAATTTGTCCTTTCTTTCCTTTTTCTCTTCAAGGCTTAATTAGTTTCATTGTATTTTTTCAATCCTAATTATTTCCTGTTTCAAATTGTCCTTATGTGTTATACACAAAATAGGTGCAAGCCATTGGTAGATCTATGAGTAGTAAGGTAATTTCTGACAGTTACATTCTTAGTTTGAGGAAAGACAGATACACATAAACACAATAGGTAAAAACAAATGTACTAATATATAACTTATTTGTATTATTAGTTTACTGAGATTACAATATTTAAATCATTTTGCAATTACATTGATGATATTTTTTTATAGAACACTGGATTTTTAGAAAAGTAAAACTATCACAAAAAATATTAACATAAAAGAAATAGAAAGCAATATATTAGCAGCCTTGTCTCCCCTACTTATTAATGTGATGGTTTACTGTTGTAACATATAATGTGTTCACTTATTGGCCTAGAGTAATACCTCCTTAACAACACAATTTTATTTCTAATAATAAAAAAAACTGGTGATCAGTCGTGTATTTTATAGAATTTTCTGGGTGTTTCTTAAAATTGGTTAGAATGAAAAAAAAAAACTGCTTCTGGTGAAATTGTCAATGTTTTGAAAGAATCTAATTGCTGAATGTTTTGTATTTATCCAAAATGATGTTCATCAAAATAAAGCATTTTTCAAATTTAAAACTAGTTTCACGCACAATTGATAATCAGACACAAAAGAGTTTGATAGAAACCTTTTTTTTTTTCTTTTTTTTTTTTAAAGAAAAAAATCTTTATAGTTTTTTTTTTTTTTTTTTTTTTTCACCACGAAATCTAATCATCCTATTGTGCAATCAACTTTATACACAGTTCTTGAAAGGTTTTTTTTTTTTTTTTTATACAGTCCCTGGAAGCCCTTTTTTTTTAATAGTCCTTGAAAGGCTTTTTTTTATATACACACTCCTTGAAAGTTTTTTTAAAAATTCAATCAAACCAAATGAAAAACTTTAAGACAAGATAAACTACCAATGTTAAACTAATTTTCTTTTTCAGATGGATGCCAAACTGATTCCATTTAAACATGAAGGCCCCCTTTACACTGTGGCAATTAGTGATTATAAAGCTCCAGATGGGGAATATAATGACATATCTCGAAAGTGGGATTGATCAATAGAATAAATTATTTCTTACTTTAAATGTTTTTTTTGTTTTTTATGATTTGAGAAGTGAGAGTGTAAAACTTGCAAAGAATCCAATGTTCTAAGATTTTATACAAACACAGCATCAGATTTAAAAAGAAAAAAGGTGCAGGATTATTTATGCATGGATTAGTAGTCCTATTTAGGATCAGTGTAATATCTGTGCAATGTGAAAAGTGTTACACACACAAATATGGAGGCATATAGCATTCTATAAATGTGCATCTGCTAATTGATGAACAAGACCAACACAGGAATTAAGAGAAATTCAAATGTTTTTCTAGCTTCTGGGATTTATAAAGTAAATTAATGTGACAATATTGACCAAAAACTTGACAAATTATGAAAGACTTGAGTTCTAAAATAATCAGCTCATTTGCATTTCTGTTCATCAAAAATGTCATTCTAAGTTTTCTGCATTTCTCAAGCTAAATATAAATTTAACATATCCCCTCACCTTTAAAAAAATATGTATGAATAACAATTTTTTATGGGCATTATGCTCATTTTTAAATTAACTTTTGGATTATAAACAGTTTGTTGTTTTCGATTTATTTTTACTATTTAAAAATATTTCCACCTGGTTGTCATGCATTAAACTATAAAATAACTTTAATGCATGAAGATTGTTAAAAAAAATTTCTGGCATGCATGTGTAATGGATATGACACATGTCTGCTTACCTCCAGGTTGGATAGTCAAATGAGGGTAGGAATCATTAATTTTATATTTGTTGGTTTTTATTGATTGATTTGTTTTACAGCTTATCAACTTTTTTGCAGGTTATTTAAAGCCAGAAAATATTTTTAGATTTTAATAATGATTTACTGTCCTACTAATTAACCTATAGTTAGGGGGAGAAGGTGGATTCATAACTTTTCTGAAAGTATATTTGGGTAAGGGAATAGAAAGAATCTGACTGGAATTGGAACTTACCACTTCGATTTCCAGTTCTGAGCTCCCCACATACACCAAAGCTTACAGCACCTACTGACCAGGCTTGACATTGCTTAACTTTGTTGATCTTGCAATAATCAATGTTTCCAGATGATATGGCCATACTGTTTGCTTTTAACATGACAAAAAAATGATATGCTGTAAAGAATTTAATCATCCTTTTGTTTAATTTTAATTATTAATTTTTGATAAATCTTATATTTTGTTGTAGTTAAAAACAAAGAAAACATTCTTAAATTCAAGAAAATGTTAAAAGAAAATTCAAAATGATGATTACTTTGAAACTTTAAAGCAATGACTGTCTTCAAGTGTCAAAAGGTTTTTATTTTTTGAAATTAGCAATAAAATCTTTGAAAGAAAAACTGTCAATCGTAAAAATACTAAACAGAATCAGTAGCAATAAGAAAACTTGTATTTTCTCAACTCATTTAACACTAAGTTTATAATAAAATGGTGAAAATCCACCTTTGTATTTTACTTTTCTGTTTTAAAAATTCAACCCTGGTTTTGGAGAGTTTTTTAAAACTTGATTATAGGAATTGTACACAGCAATTTAAGCTATTCACTTTGAAATTATTAATAGAGAATAATTATAGATATGTAAAATTTTCAAAATATATGTAAAAATGACAATATGAATGAAGTTGTCCTTTTGTCTTTATTTTATATATATATAGCACCAACCACTGGTAAATGGGTGTAGATGAGATAAGCTTGTATTTGTCATAAGACAAACAAATCTTGGCTTGGCTTTCACAGAATTGATAATTCATGAGTTTGCTACCAAAAATTAAATGGAAACAATTTTCTTTTTTAGTTTTGTGGCTTTCTGTGAAAATTTGCAGACAATGTAAAGAAAACAACATATTTGAACAATTATGTTTAAAGATCTTTATTTTATGTTTATATTGTCTTTACATGAAAACAGACACGAGAAGCAAACATTTTACCAGTTATAAAATGTAAAAAATATTTTTCCAAAATTTAGTAAAATTATTTGCTAATCATTTTCTTTCATGCCTGTTTCCCAAGATGGTCATTTAATTTTCCAAAGATTTCCATTTCTGAAGTTAAATTTAACTCTGCTGATGCAATTGTTGATGTAATAAGAATGGCAAAAAATTGTCAACACCAATTTTATGAGGTGCATAACTGTTTCTACATAATAATGATAAAAAAACAACATTTTATAGACTTTTCTCCAATTCACCCTTTAAAAAAAATACACACACACACATATAACAGCCAACAATGACAACTCATGATTGACAGTTTTTTTATGACACCAACACAAAGTTATCATATTGGCTATTATAAAGTTGGCATTTGAAGACAGGTTATGTAATTGCCCTCTGAAGGTCAACATGTAAGAACATGATCAATTGCATTCAGAATTATGGCTTGGGTTGAAAGCTACAGATCTTCAAGATCTGTCCACTTTAAAGGAGCATATGGAAGCCATCAAGCTTGGACAGTTTTAGAAAGATCATAAAATTGTCACATTTTAAAAAAAGTAAATAAAACAATTGGTGCTAACAAAACCCACTTATTTTTTTTTTCTCTCTATAGAATTATGAAAAACAATTATACGTTTATAGAACTTTTGATTATGAACAAGATATTTATATAAACTTACATTTACTCTAATTTATATATTCTGATAACAATGAAAAATAATCTGCCAGATTTCCTGGGTTTAAGAACATAACTAACCCTTGCCCTGTAGGTTCGATTGATTTTGTTTTTTTATCACTTAAAACTTTTGTGGATTTAAGAATATTTAATTCTGTTTCTTGAATGAATATTACATTAACAATTTTGTTGGATATAAGAATTTTTTCAGTTACAATTCCTACTATTTAACCCATTATAGGGGGAGAGAAGAGGTGTGTCCTGTAGTGTACAAGGTACAGGAAATAAAATAGCATTTTTGAATATGGTATATCTGATTGTATTTCATTATCAACTATATTTGACTGCCCCCTTACTCCCTCCCCACAGTGAGTGTCTTGGCATGAGGTAATGGTTAATGAGCCAAGCTGAGTTTGCTCATACTTGTGGCCTCTGGTCCCAAACTAATTTTGGCTTACTATATAATAATGACATTTAACCTCCATATACAAAAGCAAAGTTCAGTCTTATTGTCTTTCCAGTCACCATAAATTTTCTTTTCTTTCTCACCTTCCAAAAATATTAAACAGCAATGTTTTTTTTTATCTTGACATTTGTTTGAGCAAGCTTTGGTCCCCATCTTTATTTTTTTACATTGAAAATAAGGAAACAAGGGATTGTCAGTAGTCAGGAATTAAGGCAATAATGAAGATGGCTATTAGATGTACAATAGATATTTGTGTAAATCATGGGTTTGACGAAATTTGTTGTCATCTCTGGTAAGATTCTTAGCAATATTCATATCCGAATAAAAATATTTTTCCTCATGAGATAAAATACTGGCACAAGCCATTAAATTAAGTTGTAAATGAAGGAAAAACAGATTTTTTTCATTTAGCGATTTGTCATGACGTGAAAAAATCCTGAAAGGAGGAACAATGAGCAGAAAAATTTTCAACTTACAAAATCTAAAATTATTCCCATAATAGCAGTGTTCAAACAGAATTTACTAAGTTTGCTAACAGCACAAGCACCAACTCCCAAATAAATGAGAATGAACCTCAAGTCATTACTACTATGGAATCTTATCTGAAGTCCAATATTTGTTGCAGTCTTCTAACATTTGCATATAATGTCAACACACAAAGAAATGGCTTATTTAATAATAGTGAAAAAAAATTTGTTAGTTTCAATGAAACTTTAATTAATAATGTGTGAACCCATTAAAATTTGGTTGCATTGTTAAATTTTTTCTTTTCCCATGAAATGTAAAGGTATTGTAACAAAATTGTAAAAATTCAATTGGTCTCAACAACTAAAAATTCCTCCCCACCCCATTAAATATTATCAAGACACTTAAAAAATTATAGAATAGTTGCCGTTATGCTTCAGTAAGTACAATATTGAATTATTAATTACCATTTCATTTAAAAAAAAAAAAAAAAAAAAAATTTCATGATTTTAATAGTACTTCACTTTTGTATTCCAATCATTAGTGAACAGTAGAGAAACTACAAATCAAGCCCACAAGGCTCAAGTTCTCATTCTTTAGAGTCAGTTTTCATACGACAGCTGCCTTATCAATTAAACTACAAAAGATCACTGAGTGAAATATTTTCCTCCAAATTTTTGATACATTACCATCTTTATTTACATATAAGACTATTACAATTCATTTAGATTTTTGATGTTTACTAACAATGGCAGAAATACTAATCAAAACAATATTAGACCATACTTCATAGCAGAAACTCCAAAAATATTCATAACTAATAAACTAACACAGAAGCTTCTTAATAAAAATTATCAGTGAAGGATATTTTAGACATGAGTTTGTCTCCTGTAAAGTCTGCAGTGTTAATATATGCATTTGTTTTGAAATCTGAGTTTCTGGCAATTCATTGGAAATAATGAATTCATCAAGAAACTTTGTAAATGTAGTCTTCTGCACTAAGCTGCACACAAAGGTTAAAATATATATATATATACACACACACACACACACATTCAAAAGAGTGGTGCAACACAATCTTCTTACTCTATCACTACCTCATATTTTAATCTTCTGTTATACTAAGTTTGCTACATATATAAAACTCACAATGTTTACCTTTTAGCCTTTTAAATTAAAATTATACATTTATTAATATTAATGTTGTGTGTATGTATGCAAGCAGTGCATTCTGTGAATGTAACCTTACCAGAAAGATTTGCAGATTACTTGTGTGAATTTTGTGACTAGATTTGAAAGTCTGTTGTGAGACTCAAACGTTACATGATTGTATACAGGGACAGGCAAGTTTCCAACATGGGTAACGCAGACAAATTTCAAGTTTGTCACATATGTAAGAGAGGTTATAAAAGTGAAGCTGGCCTTAATAATTACTTATAGGCATATAGCAGAGCATTAGCTCGAGTATAAAGGATGGAAATAATTAAATTGTGAATGAAAAACACAGAAAAGCTACTAAATGAAGAGATGGTCTTCTGTAAAGAAGTGACAATCATTAGAGAGACAGAATATCTTCTACATAAAATATTATTCGACATCTTTAAATAAAAATAAAGTAATCAAATTTTTATTACATAAAATGTTATGAAAATCTAAAAGTCAATATTCCAAATCTATTCAGGATATCAAAAGTATAAAGTTATCTTGGAAATGTCTACTTTATACATAGAGTAAAGCACATGACAAAATTTTATAGTAATTTTATGATGCTGTATACATAATTATTGGACATTACCCCCCCCCCCCCACAGGGGAAAGGTTGGAGACTCAACTCTTATCAAATTTAAACCAAATTGAAATTGACAAACAGTGACCAAAAAAAAAAATGTTTAGAATCAGAAAATCTATTGTATTTATTTATGTAGAATAAATTTTCTATTAGAATCAAAAGTTTAAGGGTGGGGTCCACATTAACATTTTAACAATTGTTCCCCTGAAATCAATAAAATAACCTGTTATGGACTGGTTGAACTCTAAAACATTTTTATAAATGGCTAATAATTGTTTTAATTGGCTAAAAAGAAATTGTAATATCAACTTGTATCTTAATTATAGTCAACACATTTTTATGGCAAATTTTTTTTTTCGATGGCCAAAGATATCCAACACCTTGCAACTTACAAACTTCTAAAGGGATCTTAGTTCCAAAAATGAAAACTGATCATTTTACACTAAAATATATTCAGGTTTTTTTTTCTTGTTTTTACTTCCAAAAATAGCAGATTACATCAATAATGGCTCCAATCAAATATTATAGATAATGTAAAATAAATTAGTGTGATTCTCCTTTCCTTTAAGAGCAGAGTTGAATTGATGGACATTGCCCATCTCCTCTCCCAGTAATATTTTGACAAGTTGTCCAGGATTATTGTTGACATGACTAATAAAAAGTGAAAAATCTTGCCAAAGTTAAAAAAAAAAAAAAAAAATTATACAATAGTGTGTGTTTGTGGGGACATCTGCTCGCACATCAAATAAATCAGTTATTTGAGAAGAGACTGAAAAATTCAATCTTAAAATCTTAACCCAATTTTTTTTGCATTTGACATATTGGAAAAATAAAATGAACCAAAACTTACTGTTGAAAAACTATTTGAGAGAAACTTTATTAAAATCCTGGAAAATATCCACATATATAAAGAGGAGTGTGTATGTGTGCAACAGTAGTGTCATGGCAGAAAACTGAACTGTCTCCTACTAATAACTCATATTTACCGTTGCTTCTTACAACTTGACAAAATAGTGTCCGACTGAAAAGTGAATACAATGCACAAGTATGTCAGTGAATTCCTCCAATTGCATCTATTGATCAACGCTTACAAAGGATCTCATAATGAATGTGTGTGCAGTGATGTAACAGGTAATGCATACTAATTGTAACGTGTGAGAGAGAGAGACCACATTGGATGCAGCTGTCCAACATACAAATAAGTCTCTTGATTATCCTGGTTGTACATGCATAGCCATTAGTATTGACATGGGGGGGGGGTTATATATGAGAACTGTGTCATTGTGCTTTCTATTAGCTTCCATATAAATAAAAGCCTTAACTCCGGTAGATTCTTCCAATGTCTGTGGATTTGTTTATGTCAAAATATGGTTTACTGTTGAACATTAAAAAAATTCATGAATGCAGAGCTTAAAGAAAATTGTGAATGTGGATGAAACAACACCTACAAATTTTTTCGTTTTTTTTTTTTTTTTTTTTTTTTAAAACTCTAGAAGTAATTTTTATTTTTTTTTTTTTGTATTCTTCAATAAAACAATAGATCAACTAAAAATTAATCTTATTGGTGTCTTATTTAGAAAGACTAAAACAAAAGAAAAATGTTAAAAATACATTCATGTAAAACTGACGACTATTTTTTTTTCTCCTCTTTACTCTTAAGCTAAGAAATTAACACCAAACCATAAGTGCAAAGAAAGCAAAGCAAAATGACCTTTTGTGAAATGGTGACTACCCGGGGGGGGGGGGGTAACCTCTCGATAGATTTTCTTACATGCACACATTATTCATAGGTTAAAGTGCTCAATATCATTGATTGAGCATATGTAAATATCAAAGTGGACACTGAAATCAACACCCAAAGGTGACAGTCATGCTTAAATACAATCTGGCATTTAGCATGAAACAGAATGTCACCTCTGGGTGTTGCCTTCTTTATTTAGATAAATAACCAGGAAATCTTGTGTTTTTTATTATTTTAGTCAGATTCCACAAATTTGAAAACCAAATAAAAATAAAAGCTTTAATTTAAAGTATACATTTTGGAAGAATTCAATTTCTAACTGGAAGAAATTTTCAAAAATCAATTTTCAAGAAAATTAGAAACAAACAAAATATTGAAATCAAAACAATAATTTCTCATTTTTTAAATCATCAATAAATCATGAATAAAAATGTATTTTTAAAAATAAACTGCAAGAAAAAAATGTTTCGATTGGTAAGTAAAATGGATGAATAAAATACAAAAAAAATTCTTTCTATATTCAAGGAATATTGAATTTATTTTGCTGATGCTTTTTTTTTTTTTTTTTAAATAATCATGGCAGCATATCAAACATTTTTAACACACAATTATGTACTTTACACACACACAAAAAAAAAAAAACAAACACCCCCCCCCAAAAAAAAACACATGCACAACTGTTGTATTCTGTACAAATTCTCCAACACACACACAAAGGTAATAGAAGTTCTTCAAAGCCTTCAATTCAGAAAAATGTGAGATTGCCAAATATCTTCTTTCAGTGAGGAAAAAAACTTGAAATTTTTTTTCCAGACAATGACTTTCAAATGATGTTTCTTCAGTTCTAATGAGAGCAAAAGATGAGAAGGAGGGCTTCTTTTTTTTGTTGTTTTGGTTTAATATTTACAGAGCAAGATCCATTGATTTCTCTCATTTCTACATGACTTAATGTAACAGTCTTAAAATATTTAATCAAGAAATAAAAATTACCTCATATATGTAATAGTATGGTCATATTAAGAAAAAAAAATGTGCAATTTTACTAAGATTTCTCAATTAGAGAAACCATATATCCCTTAAATGTTGCTTATTTTAAGAGGAAGACATTTGCAAAGGTCTGCATGGTCTTACAAATAAGAAATGTTTAAAATAAAATGTATCCGACTGAATGGATACAATTCTATGTAGGTATCCATTAAGAAGAGAAAGTGATATAAGAAATATTTCTTAACAAATCATGCAAAAATGGAGGAGGAGGAAGAAGAAATAGGCAAAAATCAATAAAAAGATTATTCCGGATACTTTCTATTGACGTTATACAAAGTACTAAACACTTAAAATTTCCTTATAATAGGGAAACAGTAAAAATGCTGCACTTACACAATGACTTCATATTGTCTCTTTATTTATTTGTTTTTACTTTTTTGAATCTGGAGACATCCATTTAGATAGAAAAATGTTTTTGATTGTATTGTTTAGAAAAGAAAAAAAAATGGAAGTGTTGAGTTAGCAGCAAAATGAAATTGCTTTTCTTCTGTTTCTTGGAGTTCATTTGATAGAAAATATTTGAAAGAAAAACAGTTGACATCTTGCATGCAAATAGATACATGTTGACTGTTGAGGCTATGTGGAGTTTTCTGAATCCATACCAAGTTTCACAGATCTTCCATTACTAATGAGGTTGAATTTACTAATGAAAAAAAATCAAATGGAAATAGTTCAAGTTATATTTGAAAGAAAACAAAAAGAATAGATATTTTCTTTTGTATTAACATTTTAAAAGCTATTCAAAGCTTTCAATTTTACAAAAAATAATTTTCAGAAAAACCAAGAAAACAAATTTTGATTGTTATAATATTTCCGTCATATTTTTAAAGTCCTTGATATAAACCAAAGCAAACTAGATATTAATTTCAAGCGATAATTATACCCCCCCCCCAAATATGAAGTAGAAAAGAAGTGTCTAAATCTATCATGGCTGAACTGATTTAAGGCTTTAATCAAAAACAGGTTTTCTAAATGTTTTAATTTGGCAGCATATAAGATCACCCCTCCACTTAGATTGAATATTACAGTATCGTTGAAGTAGGCTATGTACAAAAGCTCTTACAGCCTACAATGTTTGGGTAAATATTAGCCTGTCGCATATTTTACCTTCAAAGAGCCTTTTCTTTTTCAGTCTTAAAATTTATGTTAATAAGCAAATGAATTAAAAATCTAATTGCATCAATTGAAAGGCATGATACCAAATTAAAATGCTGCTGGGATCATTTTTAAAACCTCTTGCAAGCACCACAGAAACTAGCAAAGGACACACAGAAATCTTTACAACAAAGCTCTCATCTGGAGCTAAAAGTGTACAAGTGACCAAAAAAAAAAAAAAAAAAAATCAAAATACAATTCATTTAGTCTTTTCTTTATCATCATTATCAGTAAACAACAATCAAACCATTGGTCATCTGTGTATTGAGGGGGAGGGGGTCTTTTTCTATGGTTTCTGGAATGCAAAGTATCTATCAAATAAGTCTGCCCTCTCCCTGTCACTGTTTTCATCCTAACTGTCCATTTATTCATCTAACATTTGATATGTTGCTGATTTTATTGTTAATGGCTAACAAACAACACAGTTTCAAGTTAACAGTCAACATGGGTAACAGAGGACATAAAATGCGATTTTGGTTTATTGTAACTTCTAATTCTTATTAATTGGCTGCCTATTTAGGAGCCATGTTTGGATTTGAAGCCATAGCTTCAGACATATTAATACCTAGACGACGAGTCACCTCAACCTGAGCCTCTGTAGCATCCATTAATGTATAGAGATGAGTAATTTCATGTTCTGTTCGAGCCAATTTAATGGCCTTTTGGAAATTGGATACACCAGCTTGTATGTTGCCCCTGGAAAAAGAAAAGAAAAACACAAGATCAATAGAACAGTTTTATTTTCAATTCCATTTTGATGGAGAGAAAAAAAATTGTAATGAGAAGTTTCCTTAAAAAATAAAAATTTACAATTTTATACAACTTTTCATTTTTGTCAATTTCCAAATTTTTATATGTTTACAAGATATATCAATAAGTTTTTTTTTTTTACAAGACTTAGCCAGGATAGTCATAGACATTTAGAAGAATTGAAACTCATTCTGAATGGACTTCCTGTATTAACATGGACAAAAAAAAAAAAAATTCATTTACCAGAGAAAATTCAATCTTACATTCATTTGTTTTTCATTGTATAGCTTTTAACTTGCATATTTTCAGCAAACAATGATTCAGATAATGTTTTTTTTTCTTTATATCATTTGAGGCAGTTGTTGATGAATATCTAAATTTATTAAAATAAGAAAAATTCTTTTTACCTGTGCACTTCAATAGAACCAAGAAGCTCGTATGGATATTCATAACGTCCATCCATTTCAATGGCTTTATCAATGTATGAACGGATTTGATCAAAATCTGGTTTATAATTCAAAAGTAGCACACTGTTGAAAAAAGAAAAAAAAAAAAGTCAATGACAAGTTTTAGATTCCCGAGACATTTCTTAAGTCATTCAACCCCCAGTGCTACACTTTCCAATTCCACCCTTTAAATTTTTATTACATTTACTTTTTTAATAATGTCTACCCAATTCAATGGTCAAGAGACAATCAATACAGAGGGTTACTAAATGTTGCTGTATGAGTTTAAGAGGAGGAAGTAAGAAGCACAGTTTATCAGGTTATGTAGGATAGATAATGGTCATTTCCTTCCTACTGGAATTTGAAGGGAATGAGAGATGATTTGTCAAAGTGTACACATGGCATGTATAGCAGGCCTTAGCTATAAAGGTCAGAACAAGTGAAACTGAAAAGTGTATGTGGTGAATGCACATTGGTACAGTTGAAAAGAGGCCTTGTATCGCATAGAGACATTTCTGTCTGCACCAGATACATCTGGGTTCCCCCCCACCCCCGTTAACAGTGGGACAGCTTGGCATGTCTAGATATGGGCCTCTCTGCAAGTGGCCAAGATCCAGGTCTTTGTAAGATGCCTCATGCCAATAAAAACAATGGGAAAACCAGCAGTTAGCAGTAGGCAAGACTGTGTCTTGTGAAATCGGTCCCATGGGCATTTTGTTCCTAAAGTTGCTGTGGTTTCCAAGAGAGTTTTTTTTGTTAGCCCTTGTCTCTTTCTCCTCTCTGCCTATTACCCTCTTGGGAGAGCAACACACTCTTGCAATACACATTACAACAGTGTAGATTGTCAGAATATTTGCTATGGAATTAGCAATAGAGTAATGAGAGGTTTGCAAAATTTCATCTGTGGGAAAGGGGGGTGTAAGATAGAAAATAATCACCCACATAGATGGTTTTTATCAGGACAGGCAAGTGAGGACTGGGTAGACAGAACATAAGTGGACCTAGCAGAGCAAAATCCATACTGGTTGTCACTAAAGAGGAGGTTGTTCCTGTCAAGGTATTCAATAACCAACGTTTGTGTTGATTATAGACTCAATGAGTTTCCTGATGACACTAAGGAGGCTAATGGATTGTTGTTGTAATGGGGATGAACACTCACCAGAGTCCTCAAAAATATGGCATATACAGTTGGGAAGCATTTCTTTAGACAGTGGTTAAAAAAGTTTGCCAAGATTGGAGATAAATCTGGGCTAATGTTAAGAACTACTACTACTGAGATTTTGTCTGGACCATGTATGAAAGGTTCCAATGAGGAAGGCACTTCTGAAAGCCCGTTTTTTTTTTTTGAAGAACGCTGAAAGAGTAACTTCTGCAATGTAAAATCTGAAACTTCCACAGAGCATTATTTTAGCATTGGAAGATTTGTTCGGAACAAAAAAAGAAATCAAAACATTAATTTTTCTTTATAGATTTTTTTTTTTCCATTAAGAAACACTAATGTTTGATTTCTTTTGATATTCTCTAATAATGCAAATTAATGTTTGCAGGCTGAAGGTTAATCATTTTTTTTTCTTCTTGAAGTAAAGTTTCATCTTCAGAATCACTGTACCTCAAAATGTTGAAGATTTATTATTTGCATCAAAAAGGATACAGAATAGAAAAAGATGAGGTCTAAAAAGGCATTTCAACTCCAAGCAAAGCAAAGCCACTAAGGCACAAGTGTTTACTAAGAATGAAAGAAAGAAAATGTTTTTAAGTAGAAAGAACAATAAAAGAACAGGATTCAAAAAGACAGATGATAATTGACATTCCATTTATATTTTTGAAAATTGTAGTTGACAGGAACATGAAGCTGAAAGTGTTCCACAGGCAAGAAGTCCAAGTGAAGAAACTATTAGCATACAATTTATGGTGACATATAGAAATTTCAACATTAAAATGATGATACCCAATGTCGTACTTCACTTAAGTTCATGAAGTTGAGGGACCAAAGAGGAAAGCTTATCAAAGCAATCATTATGAAAATATTTATAGAAAAGCTGCTGCATTACAGCAGTGAGAAAACGATTGAAGCTGAAAAATCAGAAAAGAAAACTGCCGCTCGTGATTTTATTAAATGACATCAACATTTGAAAAATACAATTAAAACCGTTTTCAAAGCCAAAAATTTATTTTTAATAAAAACTTTTAAATTCAAATATTTGATTTATCAACAAGAATTTTCTTAAAGCTGTAAGAGTTCAAATTAAATATTCACCAAGTGATATTTATTTCACTCTTGCAGCCTCCAAACAAATCTGAAATAATTTACCTTTCATTAGAAAACTGAAATAAGAAAGTAAACAATTTTGTGGCAAACAACTTACCCCATATAAACTGTAGCCATAGCATTATTCTTGTCTAATAACAAAACTTTTTCAAAATGTTCATGAGCATCTTCGGGCTTGCCTTGACCAAGCAAAGTCTTAAAAATAAAAATAAATAAAAGTAATAATAAAGGCCAGAAAAAAATTTTCATGAATATTTGCAAAATAAAATTAGAGATAAAAGATAGCTTTTATAGAGATAAAACCTTGATAATGCCAAAGTAAAATATGCATTTAATATGACAATGAAAAATTTAAAATTATATAAAATCTTTCAAGACACAAAAATGACCATCTTCAATATTTTTAAACAAAAATAAATCTTTCTTAATGGCAATATAAACAAAGATAACTCACTTGGCCAAATTTGATTCTTGCTTCAATACAATTTGGGAACTTGTTGACCACTTCACCAAAACGGACAGCTACTTTCTCTAAGCCTTCTGTAGAATTATTTATTAATGCTGTTCGATGCTCTGACAAAAGACAAAAGGATTAGGGTAAATTCCACACATACACAAAAACAAAACAAAACAAAACAAAGTTTGAATTTTAAAATCCTTTAAACCCCCACCTCCCTTGCCACTTTGTTCCCAAAACTATGAGATACAAGGTTAAAAATAACAAGGACAAACTACCACTCCGGATACCAAAAGGAAAGGAAGTGATCATGTATTTATTAAATTTATAATACTACAAAGTGATGTGAAAAGAAATTGAATTTAATGATGCATTAATATCTATATGGGTCATATAGCACAAAGCTCGCTTTCTTTTCAGACACATAAAGGATTCCATGATCAAGAGCAGAAAACTATTTCCTTTTTACATAAAATGGAAAGGAACAAAAAGAAAAATATTTTAGAAAGAAAAATTAAAAGTTTGATGATGAATGAACAAATGCAAGCAGCTAGAAAAACAACAACAAAAACAAATGATAAAATCTCCATCAAAGAGAAAAGGCAGCTTAAATAACAAAAAGAGCAATTCAAATTCAACAAGATTGGTTTCAAAAACTAATTCTGCTTATTGTTAAACTGAAGAAAAAGAAATAAGGGCCATCTGTACCTGCAAGACATTTATAGACATGAGCTTGAGGGAAATCTGGACATAGTTCTATGCATTTCTTGTAATCTTCTACGCTTTCATTACATCGATCTTGGAACATCAGTTGCTAGAGAAAAGAACAAAAAGAAAAAGAAATGATGTCCCTATAATATTACAAGACTTGATAAAGTTTTATCAAGTCTGCAGTTCTTTCATCATGGAATTTCTTTGACTTTCTACAAAGAAAAAAAAGTTTATTTTCAATAGTTTTTTTTCATAATAACGTTTCAATTTCTTTTAATGATTCTCAAACCTTTGAAGAAAAGAAGGTTCTAAAAACATGCAAATCAAGTAAAATACAACAAAGATAGGATTTATTCTCTAGACACATTTTTGAGAAGTTACAAGATTTTCACTCTTTATTGATGCAAAACATTTTGTGAACCCAATAGGATCTGCTGCAATACAATGTATCTGGCAATGAAATAGAGCACAGGGAGAAGTTGATTTTCCTTACACAATGGATTTTGATTGATTTATCTGTTTAATGGCATATCAACTACTAATGGGTCATTTAATGCCAAAAATTTAATTTTCTTGGGAGCTTGGAAGTATTAGAAATAAAAATCTCAAGATGGAAAATCTGCAAACCTCTAAAGATTACTAGTGATTTTTCTTTTCTCTTGGCCATTCTTTAAAAATATGGCACTTTTTATGGGACTCAATTCTTGTAACCTTTCAATTTCCCTCCTGGACATCCTTCCAACCAACTTTGTAGATTATGATGACAAAAAAATGATTTACCTGTCCTCGGTGGAAATAAATGTCTACATTTTCTGGATCAATATTCACGGCCTGAGCATAAGTATCCATAGCTTCCTGTGACAAACTTTGCTGACCATAGCAATTACTTTTCTTAATAAGTGCATTCACTTTGATCTGAAACAAGACAAATGGAAAGAATAAAATACATTCTAATTGTCAAGTTAAATAATGACTTTTCAGACAAACAATTTCAATAGAGAGAATTTGTTATATAAAACTTTCAAAAATAAAACATTAAATCATTTCTCTATATTTATATGAAGATTAAAATAGTAAAAAAAAAAAAATTTAAAAATGAATACATGAACAAATGGAACAACACTGTTCTCTAGTTGCCTATTTTAAATTTGCACTTTAAGAAAGAAATTGTTAGTAATATATTTAATTTTATGTAAGACGAAGCATTGTTATTAATTCTTCACTATTTTTTCTTTCATTTTTTATGGTAAGTACTTAGACTGTAACTCTCTGGCTGTTAGTAAACAGCATCAACTAGAGATAAAGAATAATCCATAGGTAAGATCTCTTGTTTCCTTAGGAAGCCAGTCTTAGCATCATAGCAGCTCTATGACTTCAGCTAACATGGTAAGCAAGGCTCCCCAAAAGAGATACAAGAGCTTACCATTTATTTCTTATTGGCACTGTTTATCCACAGCCACAGAAGAAGGATAAATGTCTGAGTAGTTGCCATAAAAGGCAATTAAAATAATAAAAAAAAAGTCCTCATGAAAGATTAATGAAGAAGAAATTCTTATTTATATCATCATAGAGGCCATTTTTATATCCCCTATTCCTTAATAAACAATCCGTAGTTGTTAAGCATTGTCTCTGAAGAGTACACTTTCAAACACACATATACAATTTCCTGGATTACCAATACTGATCAAGATTTATAGAACATCAAAGATACCTTTTGAAGAAAAAGTTTTTTTTTTTTTTCCTCTCTCCCTTTCTTTGCACAGTCAAAGAGACATTTTTCAATAAGCTTTCATCATTTTACCTGCAGTTCTTTTCACTATTCACCAAAAAAATTCATTCACACAAACTTATAAGTAGATGCATAAAAATATTTTCATTATTATAAATGCATTTATTTCAACTGGTTATCATGATCATCACAACATTTTTACTCAATCTACTTGCCAAGCCTTCCACAGATGTCTGTTATAGTTGCAAACTTTACAGGAATTTCAAACAATACTCTTTATTCAATCCACAGAGATTAGTTATTCTTATTCCACTGTCCATGCTAAGCAGATATCCTCTATCGGTTAATTCCATATCATCCTAACAAATCAGTTTATAATAACAATTCCCTGTTTCAAAAATCCACACTAAAATTAAAACTTTTCAATTCAAAGGTTTCTCTTTGAAACAATGGTCTCTGACTTATCAATATTTTTGCAACAAATCTTCAATGTCTGCAACACTCTCCCGGCATCAGTTTAAACTGATGTCTTTTTTGTGACTATTTTGCTTAAAGTTCTTATTTTATTGATTTCAAGTGAAAACTTGGAAATTTTCCAACAGATTTCAGTGAATTTTTCATTTTCAAAAATTATAGTTTAGATATACTGAAAAAAGAAAAAAAAAAAAAAAAAAAAAAAAAAAAAAAAAAAAAAAAAAAGTGTCTGTTTAAAACTGATACTAGAAGGATATGTTAAGAGAAACCTTTGTAAAAACTGACAGTTTCAAAAAAAGATGAAGAAAATGTGTTAAAACTTTAAAATGACTTGGAACATTTGAAGATAAAAAATAGATTACTTATCAAAGTTGCTACATTAAATATAATAAAGAATAATATGAAGTTTTTTTAAACAATACTATTGTGAACAAGATTGTTCTTTTATAAATTTCTTATAAGTCTGAAGACAGAAAATCTATGCTGTTTCTTGAATAAAATATTCAAAAGAATTTGAAAGAAAAAAAACAAATTTGACTTACAGTTTTATCCATATCTGCCTTATCAATTAATGTATCAAAATCTGTAATAGCATCTGCAAAGGCGCCCATGTAAAGATGTGCCGTTCCTCGCAAGAGCAAGGCTTCTGTCAAATATTTAGACTCTGGTAATGATAATTCTTCATTGCAGAGATCAATTACATTCTCACATTTGCTATTCAAAAATTGCTTGCAAGCCTCAGTGAATGGAGAACTGAAAGACAAACATTTCAATTAAGAAAACGGAGAGGAAAAAAGCGATGGTATGTGAAAGCATTTAAATTCATTTAAAATGTCTTCAACTTGGTAACATTAACTGGAAACACTTAAAACTCAACAAAACTAACAGAGCATGTGTTTTTGGTCTTTGAAAGCTAATATCCAGAGAAATTTTTATTGCACAAATTGAAAAGCTTTCCTGTATATGTATTAAATGTTCATAATGAAAATAAAATAAAAATATCATACAACTTTTACAATATGACTGAGCTGGCTATACAAAAGCAGTTTAAGAACTAAATGCAATAAATTCTCTGAATGATTTTAAACAAAACGATTGATTCATAGAGGCAAGCATCTATTCTTCTAAACAAATCCCGATATTACTCTGCTCAATATAACAGGATCTGGAATAAGCATGTGTCCAAGCATAAACTTATATTCACCATCTGTAAATGTTGTTAAAAGAAAAAAAAATATCCAAATTAAACAAAATAAGAAAAAATTTAAAGGAAAATAATTATTTTTACCCTTCATTCAATTGTAAAATGTCAATGTTGAAAATGGGATCATTTCTGAACATTTCTCTGAAAACACTCATAAAGGTCTTGGACGGCAATGTTGGCTTGCGGGACTGAAAGAAATTTAAAAGAATTTTGCACATTACCCCGGTAAAAGAATCTTAATTTTAGAGAATTTTATTGCAATGAACAAACAGTATAAAAGGCCAAAGATAATATTTATGGCAAAATAAGACAAGAATGAAAAATAAAATGGTATAATTTACAAAGAAACTTAAGTACAAATTTAACTTTGTAAAGTTATACAATCCATAAAGTTTTCTCATTGGGGGAAAAAACAAACAAATGAAACACATCGTTTATATTTTTTCTTACTTATATTAACGAGAGGTTTAGATAACAATTTCTCTCGAGAATGTTTCATCATTAATTTTGACTGAGGATAGTAACCCTATCTTCAAAGGCATCAAAAGAATTTCTTTGCAGAGTCAGAAATGATTGCAGCTGTTCTCAATTTCTGCCATCAAAATGAAGCTGTGATAATTTCAATACATGGAAATTTTAATTTTTATCCAATTTTTTTGAAAACCCAATCTAAATTCTAATAACAATAAAAGTATTGTCATAAATATTTCCTACTTAGAATTTATTTATGTTCAGACTATGTTCTCATCTTTGCTGTTGTGATAACATTTTGGCCGGCAAATCCTTTGATCTTCAGGGAATTTCAAACTTGAGTCATTATTTAATCTCTAAGTGTGAATTATTCTTGTTTTTGTAGTTCATGTCTAGAGATATCTCATTCTTTTTTTTTTTTTTCTTAACTACTGCTCTGTTATTACACCCTTTGTTTGCTTGCACTGGGTTTGAAATTCCTTAAAAGGTTATCCAGATTGACAAACACCCAATAAAGGTAGGAAGGTACTATGGCTGAAGGACATTAGTCTGAATGTAAATAATAATAATTCTTCATCCAAGAAATTGAAATTAGAAACAGAAATTATAAAAAGTTTAATCACACAAACAGAAGGAAGAACTTTTTATTAAATAAAAATTACTTACTGCCATTTCTATCTTAGCTTTCTTTTTTCCAAGATCACGCAGTACACGCTCAGAAAATTTGACAGTTTCTTCATTTGCAAAATTTTCCAACATACATAAAAAGGTTAAATCTAGAAAGAAAAACAAAAAGTATAGGAAAAAACAATAACAAAAAAAAAATATCTAAAAGCAACACATACATACTCCAGGTAAGGCATTATTTTAGAGAGTGTGTGTGTGTCTGAAACAATACATAAAGATACTAAGTTTACTCTGGTAGGGTTCACAGTTGCAGGGCACTCAGTGAGGACCAATCTCACAAGTTTGAGAGATTAGTATGAGAGGGTGCTGAAAAGTTCTCAGCCTAGCCCATCTTCCCAAAAATCAGTATCTTAATGTTTGGTCATTGAATTGGGAAGTGTCATGCTCAGAACTTTTTAGCACCATCTTGTATATTCTAATTAAGAATGCAAGCAGTCAAAATAGATACTTCCTATAATGTGACACTGAATGAGGATGGAACTGTAAGACTAACTTGTTCTCTTCCAATAAGAGACATATTACTAATGTACAAAATATGAAGTTTCTTAGTTTAATCATATATCAAAAATTATATTTCTTTTACAAATAAGGTCTGGCACGAATTCACAAAAACATTCAGAAGGACAATTATAATAGTGATGATGATGAAATGGAAAGGAAAAAAGTAACAAACACTTAAGCTTTGAAGAAATATGTTTAAACTAATGTTGTATAAAAGAAATGTGACTGAAAACTGCTACAAAAGATCCCAATTACAAATGAACTAAATTGAACTGACAAGAACATTAAATGGAAGAGCTGATACAGAACTTGGTAGAAGAATATAAAATGATGTCACAGGTGTGCCGAGCAGATTTTGGCACAAGCAACAAAACAAAAGCAAGTATATGGTGATCACAGTTAATGGCAAGAAGAGAACATTGTACAAAGATCTTGAATGAAGAGTGAAAAAGGAAAAAAAAATCCATCAAGTTCTTCATATTTTGCTTTGATTTACCAAAGAGAAAAAAAAAAAGCATACTTGGAAGAAAATGGGAGAAAAGCCAATTCCTGAAAAGAACATTTTTCCCCTCATGTCAGATGACAACAGCAATAACAATATGGTCACATTTTAAAAAGAGAAACCAGAAAGGAGTTGAGCAAAACAAAATGACTTTACAATCTCACTGGGTACTTCTTTGTCATAGCAAACCATTTGCAGCCAAATGAAGCAATTGCTAATGAAATGAAGCGAGAAAGTTCATTATGAAATGCAAAAAGGTTATTTAGGCCTTAAAAGTAAGAGGTCAATGAAGGTCAAATTAGTTGGTGATCTTTATGATCTGTATTGCAGTCAAACACATTTTCTGAGTTACATGGGTAACTTGAAAATATAAAGATGAGAAGATAGGTTGTATAGAGTTCAATTTTTTATTAAAATCTTTTCAGCAAGACTGTACTTTTTTTTTTTTTTTATTTCCTTTTATAAAGACACCATATGGAAATTAGGATCATCATCTTTGTTGTTTTTATCCCATTATCTTAGCTAATATATTCTTCAGCCTTTCTCGTGCATATCGTGCATCCAGTGGTCTTTAGAAGTTAATTTGTCTTTTCTCTTATTCATCTCATTTATAAAAAACACAACACCATATAGAAGATAGGATGTCTTGTTTTTATCACACCATTTCAGCTGATATATTCTTCAGATTTGAAAGTTGTCTTCTTATTCATCTCTTCAATAAAAACATTACAGTTTAACACTACACAAAAACCAGTATCTTCATTTTTGTTGTTTTCATCCCAGTATCAAAGCAGATATGTTTTCCAGCCTTCTTCAGGCATATATGGCAGATAGCATCTAATGGTCTTTAGATTTACTGTATATAAGCCAACTTCAGATATAATGCAACCCCCACCTCCAATTTTTTTTGCATTAATTTTAACTCCTCCAGAAAATATTTACCTGGGATATAGTGCAACCAGTCATCAAAAATGCATAATTTTTAAGCTCTTCAAAAAGCTACCCGAGTATAGTATGACCCTCTATTTATTGCATAAAAAACTGATCATAAAAACTAGACTACATATGGTACATACATATAGTTATTACATACAGTAGTTATTACTGAACACAAGACACACAAAGAATGCATTGTGCTAAAATCAGTAAAAATTAAAATAATTTATAAAAGAGCAAAAATATTTAATCACAAAATTTCATAAAATAAATGCATTAAATTCCATGCTGTAATGTATAAACTAAATGAAAGTCCTAAAAATCAATTTACTGCAAAGACAAAAACTGTTGAGTTTCCAATTCAGAAAAGAAAAGAAAGTAAATACTGACCTTCTAAGGCTAACTTTAAGTCTCCTTCATGATCTGCAGACTTGGCTCTTCGGTTCAAAGCTTTGGCATATTTAGGATTTAAATTCAAAGCTTCAGAACAATCTGCAATCACTTGCTTATGATTATTCTAGAAGAGAAAAACAAATGTGATTGTTAAAATGCAAAGAAATTCTTTCATTTTATTCCCAATTTTGCAAAATTATTTTGCTTCCAGGCAACTACCACAATGTTTACTATTTACAAGGTATTTTGTTCTCAATCAAGTGCCATAGTCATCAGCCTTTATCAGATATCAATACTTTTCAATTCTAATCTTTACTACTGAGCTATCAGATCACTGCAAAAGTTTGTGTCCAATTAGAAAATTAAAAAAAATTTCAAATACAAAAAAAAAAAAAAAACACATTTGTCAAGTACATAATCTCCATTATCTTTAACAATAATCTTGCTTCGTTCTACAAGCTTGTTGATGCCATTTTCCTAAAAATTTTGTGTTTTTTAATTGGAAAAATGTCGTGAAATAGTTTTCAACTGATTGTATAGTAACATTTTTTGTCATTTAAATTGTTCTATAGAAACTGGAACAAATGAATATTTGAAGGAGCCAATTCAATTTTTCAACATGCAGTGTTGCATTGTCATAGTGGGAAATGAAACCTTTTCAATTTTCCAAAATCAGCCATTTTTCATGAATAGCCACACTGAGATTGAGGAGCTGATTGCAATACTTTTTTGCAGTTGTTTCCCCAGCTGGATGATGCTCAAAGTGAATTATACCTACAAACAAACAGCAAAACCTTCATTGGATGGTAGCCCTCTTTAGTCACAACTTCTGCACAGTTACAAGCATGTTTCCAACTCTGTGATCATAAATTATCCATTTTTCATTGCCTGTGACAATTCTGTCCAAGAATGGCTCTTTTTTGTAGCATAACAACAAAGAAATTGCCACAGAAACACCATCTTGTTCTCTTCCATCAGAGAATGAGGCACTCCTGTGATGAGTTTGAAAATGTCTCTTCAAATGGCGAAAGACAATTGAGATATTGATTTTCAAACTCTTAGCAATCTCTTCCATCAAAATCTTAGGTTTATTCTCCATGATGGCAAGCATAGATTTTCATTGATGTCAGAAGATTACCTGGGTTGATCATTTATCTTAACATCACTCTGCCAAACCACTTTTGATCATCTGACAAGCTGGAGCTCTTCAAATGGTCAGAAAGTGGTCAAATAATCCAAATAAATCTCCTGAATGTTTTTTGCTGCAGTTCCAATGCTTACTCCTTTCCGAAATTCAAAGAGTATAATATGGTGAAAGTGCAACTTTTCATCCTCCATCTTTAAGGCATTTATTTAAACATTATCAATCAACAAAGTCTGACTAACAACTGAACGATGCAAGGTTTCAATTGAGAACACAGCAGAAATCAGCACCAAAACAAACACTAATGTCAAGTTGCAGTCATTTTATATCAACAATGAAAATTGGGCACAAACTTTTGCAATGATCTGAGATATTGTCAAATTCAAATTTGGATTAATCATCTAACAACTAATATGTGGGTAATTCAGTTTGCGATGACTGAAATGGATTAAAGTGTTTGCTTTCTTTTCCAGTCCTCTGCTCTACCAACTGAGCTATCGCAAGTGACCTCTTCCTTATTCTCTCGTTCTCGTTAGTACACACATACGCTGTCATGCTAACAAAAGTTCTGCCATCTTCCTCACAGACTCACTATTTATGTCAGCGTCGGGGGCAACTAAAATTTGCATACAAGACTTACTTCTTGTTCGCCCAAGACTTCAGATTTTATAAATTCAAGATGGTTTGAATTCTTAGTCTTTTTTATTTTTCTTTGTACATCTGCCTGCAATATATGAATTTTGGAATAATCCATTTCTCTTTTAATGCCGGTTGCGACCTTTCAACAGAACCTGACACGCCAAGCAAATTTGCTTTGCGGGAGGTAAGTCTTCTCGTTCCTCACATAATATATTCATTATACATTTTTTAATAGCTTTGGACAGCTTCCTATTTTCTGGTTTCATTCTTCAGCCATTACACTTTGGGGTAAGTGATGAGAGTTTAATTCTTGTCCAAAGTTTCTTTATTCTAAATTCCTGTACCTTCATTTAATACCTATTAGATGGATCAACTAAAAATGAGTCAAAATATAAGTCAAAATTAATATCATGCATAATAAAAATATTTCATCTTAGAATCTCAAAACAATTATTTTAGTCCTTTAAATGTTGAGAAAATGAAAGCAACCCAAGAGAAATAAACATTGATATGTCAGTTGTTTTGTTGCTCATCATATTTAAAAGTATGAACATTATTATTATTTAGCAATTTTGGCTAAATACTGCAAGAATGATAGTGCAAAAATTAACTTCGTCATGCTTGGCTGATTAGGCTCATTACAAAGTAAACTAAGATAGTTCTGATATTTGATTTACATACTATGGATATCTGGATCATTATTAATTAGCTGAAGTAAAATTTGAGAGCAATGCTGCTTTATAGACAATATGGTGCAGGCTTGTTTCTATACAAAATTACATTTCCAAGGATTCAGCTCCAGCATATGTTATCGAAGATGAACCTCACCAAAAACTCACAGGTTTATATTCCAACATGCAGTATTTAAAAGGCATGAAAAGATTAAAAAGTGCAGCATCTTAAAATCATCTTTCCAAATAAAAATGTTTTGTTTAATTATAGAAAATTCAAACAGACAATAGAATATACTTTTGTTTATTCTTATCATTTAGTGTTTTCATAATTAAAATATACATGTAACCCTTTATTGCTAATAGGTGTTGGTTATTTTTAAAATAAAGTTAATTTACTAATTTTTCATAATTTACTTTAATTCAGCTTGAAAATTTAAGTTATAGAAAATAATTTTTGTATGTCATTGTTTCTGTTTTTAGATTCATCCTTCTTTTAAAACATGTAAATACAATAGTCACATAAGATTTTAATAAATTGAATGAATGTCAAGCCACAATGACACAATTCTACTAAAAGGAAAAGAAAAAGAAATAAGTTGTCAGCCATACCAATTGGTCAAACGCTGCAGCTCTGTTTTGATAGAATGTTGCCAACTGATCTGTTTGGTCTGATGGACAAAGTGAAATAGCTTTTGTATAACATTCAATGGCATCAGAATATTTTCCTGCTTTAAACAAATTATTGCCCTTCTTTTTGGCTTCCAGAGCTTCATCAAGTGGCGTCAACTGTAAAGAGAGAAGGAAAAAAATAGAAAAAGATCAAGTAATAAAAAGGAAAAATGTCCAGGCAGTAAGAATTTTGTCTGCTGCAGTTCAATTATAGGGTAAATCTCCGAAAAAAAAACAAAAAAACAAACAAACAAACAACCACCAACAAGGAATTTCTATTAATGATGTCAACATCAACCAAATGAATAGCTCATTAGCCTTATGTCAGAGTAGACTTAGTAAAAATCTATTTCTTTCTTTAACATGGGTTGACGAATTAAGCAGTTGGGAGAAATTAGTTTTAACCAGTGAGCCCACTGAAGAAAAATTTATTAGAAATTTTTGACAGCATTTCCCTCAGATAGAGGAGTAAATCAATAAACAAATATACAAAAGAACTTTATTAACTAAAACTACAACCAAAAATCAATTCAAAAAGAATGATGAGTTTTAATGTTTCACAACTCCACAGCATTTTTATATACAAGGTGTCTGTAAAAAATATCTCAATTACAATGTTTCAATTGTTGCCCTTCAAATTCTAAGCACTTTTGAACTTGTCTTAAAATATTTGCATACATGTTTGCACCTCTCAAATACAATTATCTCTTTTAGGTTCAGCATACACTTAACTGGACAATGTCTTCTAATCTATCTTCCTGGAACTGTTTTATCCTGACACTAGCAGCAAAATAGGGTGAAGTCCAGTCTTGTAGAAAACTATTAAATAAATAAAATAGTGACTGGTACTTTTGAAACACTATGTAAATTCAAGCAATGAAAAAAATTTTTTATTTAATTAATCAATTAATTCAGAACAAGTTTTATAAGGAATGGTGGAATAATTCATCATTGGTTTCAACAAATTAATAGCTTTCAGCTTCTTCCAATCTTGATTTACTGTGGAAATATAACCGAATTAAATGCAAGTACATTTGCCTAAGCAGTAGGTAGCCTTGTATTGCTTGAGAGATGCCCATGAAAGATTTGTCAGATTAAGATCTCATTTTTAATGTGAATTAAAAGGATGTGTTTGAAACCATACTGCAAACACTGTTGGGATAGAAAATAAACAAATAATAAAAAGGAAACTAAAATTTATTATCCCTAAAAATAGATGTATATTCAGAATTGTAAGGTCATAAATCAGATTTTGACCAACTAATCAGAAACTGTCCCAACCAGTATACAAAGATCATAGTCTAGCGAGTGAATCAGAAACAAGATCAGTTCCCAATCAGTATATATGGTCACTGATTGTGGACCAATCAGAAACAAAGTGGCAATTTCAAAGTGGGTCTCTAGATATGTATATAACGAGATGTAAAGTCAACCCAAATCAGAATCAATAAATTAACTTGATCAATTCTCCAATGTTGCGATCATTGCAACATACTTAACCCACCTCCCTCTACCATCGTTGACTTAGATGTTACACAGAGTCCTGCATTGGCACTACTAAAATATGCATACTTTTTTTCACCCACATTTTAAGCAATTAAACTGCTACATTTGAATGATACATATTCCTACATTCTCCCAGACTCACCCTCTCTCATATGCAATAACAAGACATTTACATTTGGACTGAATCTCCAACTTATCACTATCCTTATATATATATATATATATATATATATATATATATTAGTGAACTAGCACAGAGGGTAACGTGGTCCAAGCTTGCATGCACTAGAGAAGTAATGACTTCAGGAAGGTCCAAGATTTTAATGTTCACGGAGATATATTGTGTTATATCAACATTTTTTTTTTTTTTGTATAACACTGTGCATTTTCTTTTTACTCAAAGCCAATACAGATATGGTAGGAACAGAATCACACCCACCCCAATCCAAACCATAACACTAGTTTTTAGTGGGCAGAAAATGTAGTGCTTTAAGCCATTTTCTGCTAAATTAGCATAGAAAATCTGTTTTACATAAAACCTCCAAAAGGTTATGGGTAAAAAGTGAAGTTTAAATATTTTCACTTTTAAATGAGATTTATTCTCTCAGATCAGCAGGTCAAAAAAATGAATTTTTTTTCTTTTAAGTGCCTTGTCCCTTCAAGACGTCGGCGATCATAGTTCTTAACAACTTCCTATAAGCAATGTTTGTCTTTTCGATATCCCTTTCAAGTCCCTAGTGTTGTTAGTTAATGTGTTACTGTTCTGCCATCCATATTTATTCACCGAGATCATTAGGCTACTCCTCTTGTCCGTAAAGGGTTAAAAATGCCATTTATTTATTAATAAACATTGCTTATTATTTTAGGAAAAAACAAAAATAACTTTCTCTGAAAAGTGATCGGGGAGTTTAGAATAATTTTTTTCGTAGATTCAAAATTAGAATAGTTATCTGAAATAAATAAATAATAATATTCACTTCAAGTTACACTGGGTTTCATTTTTCCAATGGGGGGAGGGGTATAAAAAAAAAAGTCAATTTAGAAAAGGACTTGAAAAAACCTGTTGATTTCATAAGTAAACTGAAGAAAAAAATAGTAGACCTTACCACTTGTTAAAAAAAAAAGAAAAAAAAGAGAAACAAATAACTGAAGAAAAGAGGCTAAAAACCTGCTTGTCCGACAAAGTAGTCACGTAACAAAACATTTTTTTTTAAAAAGATGTCTTCGCTTTTTAAAGTAATTTATAATTTTACCCCTATGAAATTATACTCGGATTTGATTTCCCCAGCTGCTTAAAAAAAAAAAAAAAACAAAAAAAAAAAAAAAAAAAAAAAAAAGGTCACCTTCCTTATTGTATTGATAAAGGTTACAGAAATACACCTAATTTACCAAGTTTTTAAAACTAATTTACTTACAATACATACCTTTATCTAGTAAATAAATCCCTTCGGTTGCATTTTACGTTAAAGTGAAAGTTAATTATTTTATTTTTAAGTTTATAAAAAAATTCCATTATTAATTTCAGCAGCGTAACAAAAAAGGGGTATCTGGCTCGTAACTGTTGCTTTTGAAATATTTTATGAAAATAAGCACACATAGAAAAAAAAAAACAAGTACATCCGAGTTAGAAACTTTCTAAAATACAGTTTTTAAGTATAAGTGATGAACATGTTTCTTAGGAAGAAAAACCGGTGAATTCTTTTAAGGAAATAGTTGACATTTGAAGAAGGTATGGAAGCACAAGAGAAAAATATTATCTATTATTAATGTTGTCATTATTTCAGAGATAATAAATATAATAAAAATTTATAGACTTTTCACTTTTTTTACAATATACATTCCAAATTTATCTCTAGGGATTTATGTAAACAGAAAGCAATAAAAATACAAATATTTCTATGATCCCAACTTATTAATCATCGTATGATCCGTATTTTTGTGTACCAAAATGGGTCAGAACGGCCTTATGTAAAGGCATGTTTCAATAACCTCTACGAAGATCTTACGTCCCCACCTTACCAGGTTTTCATAAATGGTAGAACAATATTTATTCTAAGCAGTAAAGAAGAAGGTTAAGGCTAAAGTATGGATACAAGCACAAAACAAACCTGGGCTTCTTTTACGACTTTGTTCTTTACACCAGCCGTCGCTGTCGTAGTCGACGACGCCGCATTACTTTTGCTATCGGATTTCTTATGTTTCTTGCTCTTGTAATAAATAAATCCGGCAAGTCCAAGAGTGACGGGCGTACCGAACAATAAAGCCAACTGCCATTTGGACAGTCCTTCTAATTGTCCTTGCATAAACTCACGAAGCCGCTCTATCCGTAGATTTAATTTTCCCATCGCCATGACGGCCCACGTGCCACTCGTGTTCGCGTCCAACTTACTAACCACACGAGATTCTCGTGCGGAGTGAGCTACCTTTAAAAAAATAAAGAAATACTACCGACGTTCACTACCAATCATTAACTCCACTATCAATGCTTATATTTTAAAGCACTTTTTTTTATCTTTATAAATAAAATGAATACTTACCTAACCTCTCTGATTTGTTAATTGTATTTGACACTTTAGCAGTTTTTTTTTCCAATGTGATTTTGTAAAATAGACTTTACAGTACACCTATTTCTTTTTTTTTTTGGTCACTGATGGAATGTAGAGAGAATTTTTTGCAATTCAATTACACACCCGAAAGTCAAATACATTTAATAATGTAATTATGTTTAGAAACCTCACATCTTAGTTTTATATATATATATATATATATATATATATATATATTGAGAGAGAGAGAGAATTCAATTTTCTCATTTTGGAAAGGAAATAATTCCAAACATTTTCTCATAGGACAAAAAAAGCTATTTTATAACTTTCAAAATAAAAAATAAATTGTATATTAACTTTTTTTTATCTTAAACATGGCAGTTTGTCATATAATTTAAGACAAAATATCAGTTTCTAGTATTTCATTATTATGGCCTTGTGTCAAACTAAGCTAAATTAAGGAAATATACTTTAGAGATCAATTAAAACATGTCACAAAAATTGTAAAGTTGAAATAAATATTTCAATAAGTTATTTGTCGTTTTTTTGTTATTTATGCATATAAAAAGATAATTTTTTGAAAAGCTGATAGGTCAGTTGATTTCATTTTACATCGTTTCCAATCATACAAATTCACTTAGAAAGAAAAGATTTAAAATGAGAGTAAAAGACTCTACCATTGGTTGCAGTGGATTATTTTAAAAAACTAGGATTTCAAAGATTTTTTTCAAGATGGCAGATCCTCTCTACTTGGAAGAATGACACTGCACAATCTATCTCCATTTTTGTACCATTTCACTTTGTGCAAGGCTAAAATAAACTAAATAAATTTCTAGTAGTGACTTTATAATTTTGTTTACTTTTTATCCAAATAACAACAATTATAAAATAAAAAAGTTCTATTTTTTGATCTGGTTATTAAGAAAAAATATCAAGTTAAATTTAAAATGCTAGAATGTAGTCAAATTTGTAATTGTGTAATTTTTGTTATTTTTTACTGGTGGAAATGATTCCTGTATGATGACTGGTATTACCCCACCTTGTCTGCCAGGAGATTTTTCTGAACATCCACTAGGTGGTGTTGTATAAAGCAGTATAAGAGGAACCAATTTTCTCTCTTCAACCACAGGATGCTGTAGTGACAAAATGTGTCTTGTTTTCCCTCCAGAAAGGCTTCATAGCACACAGATGAAACAAGTGTAGCATTCAACACATCATATTATTTCCCATTCAAAAAGATCTCATGTGACCAGAATAACATTTCTACTACAAGCTATCATTTCTTCAACACAAGAAAATATCCCAATTTAACAAACAAGACAAAGCCAATCCAAACTGATGACCTCCATAACAAACTGTTACCCTAATGTCATTACAAGTTTCTCAACAAAGACATATCTTCAATCACTTTCTTACTCACAGAAGAAAGTTAGTAGATTAGATTTTTCTCTCTCTTTTTTAAGCTATGTTATACCTAATTGTGTATGTAAATATATATAAAATCTATGTATGTGTGGAATTCACTTATTTTGAAAATGCTGAAATATTGTACAGAATTGTGTTATATGACCTTTGCATAACAAGCAATAACATTTACAAGGTATATTGAGTTTATAGTGAGACATTTTCTCATCAAACTATAATAGGTTCTTTAATAAGTTAATGCAAGTTTGAAATAATAAAAAAAACACATTTCAGAACCCTTTTGGCAAAATTCAATTAAATATATATTCTGTATAAATGACATGAGTATAATCATTTTCCTACATTCCAAGGTCTGGTCTCTTACTGATAGTTGGTTTTTCCATTCATGTTGTGTTGACTTTAGATTTGAGATGATATTTCAGTGAAGCTGGTTGAAACATTCATCTGCTGCAGGCCTAGTTTAGCTTAAAAAAAGAAAAAAATACTTCAATAAAAAAAAAAAAAACATGTTCTAAACAATGTAACAAACTCATATGCAAACATATGCAATGCTAACTCTAGGTAAGATTACAACTAGCTAAGTACATTAGTAAACCTGTATGAACCTAAACTACATTTTTTAAGAAACAAATTCTCCAGTCTCTCAATCAAATTTCACTACAAGCCTTTTTTTCTTACACTTTGGTCTGCACTCATAATATAAATAGGGGATTGAACCCCAGCAACAGAATCTAGAATTTGCCAGACCAGACAAAGAAAAGAATGGATGAAAGAATTCTATGCAAACAACTGTCACATATTTTATTAGAATTTTTCAGCATTTGATCTATGTCTTTGCTGTCATAAATTAAGTGAAGCCTCTACAAATTACTCTTGACCTGACTAGCATTCACTTTATATATTTTCTATAAAAAACAAACAATTATTTTTTAAATACATCTTTATTTTTAGTTTCACTTACAAATATTATAACACACCAAGCTAAATTCATCCAGTTACAAGAAAAAGAAAATGATTTGCAAGATAAACAAAAAATGCATGTTCATCATAAAAGAAAATGAAAAAAAAATATGTTTATTTATTTTGGATTGCCAGTTTCAAAACTAATCCTATCCATTTATTAGCAATGTTGTTTTCTTAATGGCTGATCAGTCAATCTTCATAGGGTAAACTTCCACTGTTTTATTAGATTAGTTGCTGGCTTAGTACAGCCAGGGAACTGTAGTGCTAAGGTTCCAACCAAAATTTGTGTTCTGTCCTTGATTTGACTTTTCAGAAACAGAATATTCTTATACTGGAGATTCTTCTCTTTGAGGTGTTTCAATGATAAGTTTATCTTGCGAAGATGCTTAAGGAAAGGATCAATGGTTATTCTGTTGGTCATAGTTGTTGCTTCTCCCAAGAACTGCTGCAGAATGACCAAAATCAAACAGTTTCTTTAGGTCCATAACCAACCGATATCTCTCTCGCCAAACACTTTGTAGAATAGACATCTCTATGAAACATTATCTTCTGACTCCCCCTGCTAGCCAACTCGTAGACCTTATGTAAACATAATTTGAGTTTTGCTTTTATCAATCCAGGGTTTTTTCTTCTCAAAATATAGTTTTTCTTCTCTTCTTTCAAACTTTAATTCAAAATAAAAGATTTTATTTTTTTATAAAACCAGATATTTTGAGGTATTTCTGATCAACTTTTAATTACCTAGATTGTTTTTTCATATTAAATCTACCACTTTAATCTTATTCCAACTAGCTACTAACTGTAGATTTCATTTGCTTGTAAAATCCAGCCAAGTAATAATGTCACAGTCAATCAAATGTTTGTACCCTGATATGGCAAGTGTATTTTCAATTCCTCTTGCATTCTTTTCTGACTCAACATTTTTTGCCTTAAAGTATCACTGATGTTTGTCTAAAAACAAACTATTTTCTGGCCATTTTCTTTACAGTACACTGCAACACATTAAACCTAATATTAAAAGCCTATCTTTTCAGCTTTTGTGGTTTGTATGAAAAATTTCAAGCATTTGTATTTATAAAGTTGTACCTTACAACTGTCTTGCATTTTTTCTCTGACTCTGCTTGAAGTATATTGTAATTTTGATTTGCTTTGTCTTTCTCACATGAAAGGGTAATGGTTAAATGTGACAGAATCAATAAAAGCAACAATGGCTTGAAAGATTAGAGCGGACAATTCTCTCTTTTAGGTGGAAGAATAAAGACTCAAACTCCTGCTCGGGGTGTAACATAGCAGAAAATGTTTATTTACATGCACAAAAAAAGGTAAAAGGATATGCACAAATACGAGAGAAAGAAAGGGAGAAGAAAATTGCTTTAACATAAAGGAAGAAAAAATATTCATATAAAGGCTTGCTCAAAATATTTCTCTGAGTGCCTAAAAATTCTTTAAGCGAGTAAATTGTTCTTAAGGGGTTAACATTCACATAAATTTCTTCAGTGCTCTTGTTGAGGAGGAAACTGTCAGAAGATCCAAATTTTGTAGTTGAGTGAATTTGTAGATCGACGACAGAAATTTCTAGGTGCAAAGAAGCAGATCTCAATTAGTTTTTAGTAGAGGGCCAATATTCTGTTTTTAGAGCCCAACAGGTAGATCTCTTTCTTGAAACAGTTTCCAAAGATGACTGGTGCTCTATTGCTGACCTGATGTTATCACAGACAATGTCAAATACTCACTGTCAAAGAGGTGCATATTCTCCATATTTATTGGGATTCGAAGGCTTAGAAACATTGAAACTTTTCCCTCCAAAATTGCTATACACTTTCCCAACTCTCTCATTTGTCAGAATATATATTCTTATCTCTGATAAGAATCAAAGGTTTGGGAGCTGCTTTTTGGAAGCAAGGGTCCGACAAGTTGTGAGCGCCAACCCCCAACTTTATGGCACCATGGTCACAATATTTTAGCTTTTGCACTCTTTGGTATTCTATTGTTTGTCATAGTTGATAACCAAACAGAAGCCTTTACTCAATCCATAAAAGTAGATTGAGGCACTTCAATGTGGTCTAATGGTTAGCAAGCTCATCTTGCTAGACCAATTACGGCTGAATAGTAAGTTTGATCTTTACTAGGTGCCCCACACTTCCAACCTTGTGCCACATCTAAGATACGCTTAAAAAAAAAAACACCATCGATGTATATTGTTCAGATTAGTCTCTCCATGCAAGGGGAGATAACCTCTATCGGTTTAATTCTATCATCCTTATGAATATCACTAAATCTTTTCCACTCAATCAAAGTATATGACATTTTATTCTCTATGTGATTCAGTATACTTAACCAATGCTTTTTATCTAAGTCAATCTGTTAGCAGGTAATTCTCAAAATCATAAGTTAATAAAATAATTAATCATTATTTCTTTTAAGAGACATTCTCCTGGAAATTCGTAACAATTTCTGTGAGACTTTCTAACAATTTTTAACACAT